TTGTGGAACCACCAAAATTGTTCTCATTTCATCCCCTCTACGACTTGCACCCAATTATTTAAAAAACCACTACATTCATTTCGCCTTATCCTGTCTTTTTAAAGGGACACCTCTGCCTCACACCCTTTCAAGTTCCATCCAATCCGTTCTGTTGCTGAATGGTGATAAGCCTTATATTCTTACAGGTTACCCCTTTTTAATTTTAACTGTCCATCAATCTTTCCCACAGAACACAGTCAATGCCTTTACGAGATGAACGAAACCGAAACGCAGATTCGTTCCTTTTTCCAGAAATCTTTCGTCTATTATTGTTGTTCCACATCCAATCGAATCTCTTGTTCCCCTCCCTCTTCTAAATCCGAACTGCATTTCTTTCACATTTTCTTCCATTATCCTTCTGTTTAACAAGCTCAACAATCTTTTCGCCGCATGTCCTACCAGGCTGATTGTTCTATGTTTACCACACTTCTCTGTTCCTGTGTTTTTAGCCAGTGCCATCATCTGAGTCTTCAGGAAATTTTCAGACCATTCCCGATTCATATATAGAGGTGTTAATTCCTTCATTCCTTCTTTCTGAGGGTACGTTAATATTTCTACTGGAATTTCATCTATTCCCCGTAGCTTTAGCTTTACCTGATCTCATATCGTTCATTACCCTTTCCACTTTGGTAAGTATAATGCGGGCTCCTATATTGTCAGGACAGTCCAGCAGCTTTGGTTTTTCATTGGTTTTATACCATACCATACCATTTGGAAGTGCTTTCCAAATTGCTCGTAATTTTTAAGACATTATAGAAATGTTTCGTACGGCGCTTCCATGGTTTGTGAGTTTCTAGTCTATAACTTTTGATTGAGAAGTCTGATCGAAAAAGTACGAATTGTTTTGGATTCTACGCACCAAAATTAATAAGAAAAAGTGTTTTCCCGAGAAATTTTGGTGCAGTCGATTTTTGGTAAAAAACGAAGGTTATACACTGCCTTTTTTTGAGCCCCGAAAAAAAAATTGTCTTAGATCGACCCGGAAAAAAATTTTCTTATAGAATGTGGCCTGTAGAATCCATAATTTCAAACAGTTCCAAGATTGGGCTACTAGTTCAAAAGTTACAGCCCTTTGAATTTTTTTCGAAATTGGTTTCTAGTCTATAACTTTTGATTGAGAAGTCTGATCGAAAAAGTACGAATTGATTTGGATTCTACGCACCCAAATTAATAAGAAAAAGTGTTTTCCCGAGAAATTTTGGTGCAGTCGATTTTTGGTAAAAAAGGAAGGTTATACACTGCCTTTTTTTGAGCCCCGAAAAAAAAATTGTCTCAGATCGACCCGGAAAAAAAATTTTCTTATAGAATGTGGCCTGTAGAATCCATAATTTCAAACAGTTCCAAGATTGGGCTACTAGTTCAAAAGTTACAGCCCTTTGAATTTTTTTTCGAAATTCGATTCTAGTCTATACCTTTTGATTGAGAAGTCTGATCGAAAAAGTATGAATTGATTTGGATTCTACGCACCTAGGGAATGCAATACCGGGATCCCGCAGCTTTTTTGCGGGATTAATCCCGCACATAAATGGAGCGGGATCCCGCGGGATTTGCGGGACTGAGGAATTTGTCGACCAAGGGAACGACTCTGTTTGCTTTGTTAATGAAACGCATAACGGAGAAATTATTTTTAAAATAATTGTTAAACCTTTTTCGTTAAAAATGTACTATGATTTTTGAGGCACCTTGAGTTCACCATTTTGTGCTTTACAGGTAATTTTTTTGAGTTTCAAGTTAGGCTGAAGGTACTTTTTTTTGAATAGGTACTTATTGTGATAATTAGCGATTTATTTTAATACAGAAGTTTACCGCACAAAATTGCTTAGGTATTAATTGCCAATTTATTTAAAATTTTGCGGGATCCCGCAAATACCGGGATCCCGCAGGATTAACATCTAACGATCCCGCAAATACCGGGATTGAGATTTTGCTGCTGGATTGCATTCCCTAGTTGCGTAGATCCTGTAGGCTATGAAATCGATAGATTTTGGCGGTTTAGCGTCGGAGCTTACGATTTGAACAGGAAGGGTGGTCCAAGAATGCGCGTGTTCGATAACGAAAATGATATTCTGAGATGTAGCGAGGGTAGTTGAGAAAGACGTTCAATTTTGGGAGTTTTTAAAAATATGATGTTGTGGGAATGGTAGAATCATGTAGTTGTAGTAGAAAAGAATTGGGAGAAAATAAAGAACCGAAAAGTATTCCGAATAAATCAATATGGAAGAACCATTCGCGAAGAGGAATACTTTAAAGGGAAGAGCAAAAGGCGGTATATTAACAGGGGTAAACAATGGATAACGGAATGGGGGGAGGAAACGAAAGCGGAGGAAGGAATACAGATCAGGCGAGTAGAAGTGTAGGGAAAAAAATTAGAGTGATACTAGAGGTATACAACAGAGAAAGAATGAAAGAGGCTAAAAATAAAATTTACAAGTACATCTTGCGCAGGGAAGCGCATTTTTTAACACCCCTACGCCCCAATCGATCTTTGTGAGTAACATCTTCCGACACTCCGTTCCCGACACATTCGCACTTACAGTTTTTACCCTACCATTAGATATGCCTAGACCTTTGTGAGTACTCTTCCCCGATTTTCCATTCTCGAGATATTCACACTGCAAGTTTTGACATGACTAATGAGTATGTTTCTTCCATACGTCCCAATAGCTCTTTGTGAGTACCCTATTTCGACAATCCGCTCTTTAGATATAAGGAAATTATATCCGATTACGATAAGGGGTCGAGGAGGAGGACTGTGTTTGGTAGAAATAAATTCTTTTCATTGAGACCAGGATACCCCCCCCCTCCCCATATTTTGATGAGGTGTAAAAAAGGACGGTAGTTAATATAAAACAGTCCCTTTTTTGAGACCTTTAATTAGAAATCCATGAAAGATAAAATTAACTTTTACCCCCCCCCCCCTATCTCCTCCGCCCAGTGATCTCTACAAGAAGTCGCGCAGGAAAGTTATAGTTTGTAGTAAGTAATTCATTTCCAGAAGACCTGCCATTAGAACACCATGAAGGGCAGAACGTCTGTTTACCTCTGCCCACCCCAGTTTTAGTAGACACCACTAAAGACATGTGTATGCAAAGACTGAGACCAATTGGTTGTGGCATGCACTTTTAACTTTCAAAAACAGCATCTCAGGAAATAAATTCGTGAATGGGGGGCTAAAAACAGCGAAATTTGATGCCCGTCAGTCACACCTTCAAGGTATAGGCTACATAAAATAAAAAAGAAGATAAGAAGATCAAGAAATGAAAATACGCAAAGAAGAAGGGAGAAACAATTATGGACAAGGGACATGGAGGAAGTGTATAGGTGGAGACTAGAGGAATAAGGAAAATAACTCGAAGGGAATACAGAAGAAATAGGTAAATGAAGAGGAGGGAATAGACTAAAGAAAGGAGTGGCAGAACAAAGAGTGAACAGAAGACAGATATAGATAAAAAGAAATGATGGAGAAAGAAATAAGAGGGAAAATAGAGGAGAAAGGGGCGAAAAAGCAGAAAAAAACGTAAAGAAAAAAGATGGAAAAACAGAAAGAATACAAATCATGAAAATAAAAACATAAAAGGAAAAGTTGATAAACAAAGGAAAAAAGAAAAATAAAACAAGCCGGAGGGAAATACAATTAGAAGAGGAAATCTAGGAGCAATTAAAAAACTAAAGAAAGGGAATGCGATGGGGAGAGACAAGATAGGTGATGAGGCAAAAAATGATAAATCTACTAAACAAGGTACGAAAAGGAGGAGGTTTTCCCGAAGAATGGGAGAAACGGGTAATAGTGCCGATCTTCAAAAGAGGGAACAATGATTGTGTGGGAAATTGTAGAGGAATTACTATAATTACGGCGTATAGAATATATGCAATGATCTTGAGCGGAAGTCAAGAAAGAGAAATGGAAGAGAAGAGGATGTTTAAGAAAAGACGGGAAGGTGCTCGCATTTTTCATGGACTTGAAGGCCGCGTTTGACAGAGTGGAAAAAGAAAAAGTATGGAAGATGATGGAAAAATTTACAAGAAGTTGAAGGGAAGAATCAAGGAACTTATATTGAGAAACGAGATTGAGGGTACGAATAGAATGGAAGGAGTCTCAAGGGTTTTGGACATGTAATGGCTCACTGAGCGCAACCTCAACTTAAGGAACATAAAATGGAAATGGAAAGAATGGAAGAAATAAAAGAAATTAAACATTTAGGGTACCAAACTCGCAGATTTAAAAATTAAGAAAAAAGGGGGTGGTGACGATGAGACAGGTGTGGGGAATGGGATAGAGGGGGTATAAGAATGATTATAAAATAAGAAAGTACCTGTTCGACGCAATGGTGAGAGGAGTGCTCATGTAAGGAACGGCGATATGGGGTGAGGGGGGATGGAAGGAGCTGGATGGAATACAAAGAAGGTGGGGAGGTGGGTTAAACGGGATGGCACAAAATTGTATATTAGAGGAACTAAAATGGAAAAGAAGAGGATGCCGCCGGGGCGCAGGGCGGTAAGATTCGATAGAAGGAGCGATAGAGAAGGCGATTTGGTGAAAGGATTCTAGACGAGGATGGACGCAAAAGGAATATGGGAAGAACTAAGAGGAAATATTACGAAAGTAGGATAAAATACAATAACAGAGTGTGAAGATAGAGAGCGCACGGGTAGCAGTTATAAAGACCTAATTTAATTAGCTCGGTCAAGGTATGGGATTCGTTTCATTGCAAAAATTGATCTTAACCTTCACATCACGAAAAATGATGTTGCATAAAAATTCAGTAATTAGGTAATGAACCAAGACCTTTTTCCCAAAGTGTCTACTGTACATGCATTGAGGCATCTAAAGGAACTTACTCTGCAATTATATAATCACTCTTCAAATGGTAATGATAGGTAACAGTAACGTAACTGCCAAAATTAGCATCATTCAAACATCGGTCACGTTTCGAGTACCCCAAGGACAAATTACTTTTTATTTTGTATTTATTTTAACTCGACTAGTTGCTACGTAGATAATAACTATCTCAAGTGGTATTGAACGTAATTGAAATTGAGAGTGCTAGTGGAAACAAGTTACTTGCCGTCATGTTGTGGTTACTCCTCGTATTTGGACTTATAATTGCCATATTTCTTTTTATAACACTAAAACAGTTTCGATATTGGTCATCCAAGGGAGTGAAGCAAAGTTCAATTTTCCAACTATGGGTGGATAACATCAAAATCATTTTTCAGCTGGTTTCACCGGCTGAACATACGGTGGAGTTGAATAAGAGATTTAGTTCCGAAAGGTAATTTTTCGATTTTACTTACAATGAAAATTGTGATGTCATTTAATGCAAATGGATGTTGAGGATGTGCAAAAATGAAACGCGACACCCCTGCGGAAATGTTCAGGTTTGGAACAGACCAAAACAATTTTGATTTTGTAATATTATGCATGTTAAGTACCCACCAAGCCTTTTTAAGTGTGTTGTTTGTGTTACCTTTGAAATTTAACATGAATAATTTATATTTTATCCTTTACGCTTTGAAGATTTTCTGCGCAAAATCTTTAATTATGTCTACTAGTTTTTGTGTCCAAAATGAAAGTGTTTCCGCTCCATCAAAATTTGCACTGCAATAATTACAGTACGTAGTTCATGTAATAATGTTGCGCAAAACCAATGGAATCAAAGTCCGGTTACGTTATTCTTATTTGATAATTGATATTGACATAGACGCAAATGTCTATGTTAGAATCCTTTAAACATTTACAGCCTTCAGCCATTCAGCCCGATATTTAATACTCATACCCACTCGAAAAGTAACCAAAAGGCAGTCAAATGCAAGACAATGGTTACAAACTAAGCAATAAGCATTCAGTGGAGAATGTATCCAACCTTTTTGTTTGTTTGTTTGCTTCCTTTTGGAATTCGTCTCCCAAACCAATGAGATTTTCACAAAAAACGCTTGAGAAGTATTCGCACTCCTCTTCATAACATCCTCACTTCTCGAAATCGTCAAAGAAATTCTTCATGGGCCCTTTAAAATATTTCTACGAACTTCTCCTATGAATCATGGCTGCAAACCGATTAGGAATGTTCTTTCTTGAAACTACGCTTTTTAAACCTCTCTAGATATATTTTCAAAACCTCCATTGAATCACATTCAAAAACAATCCAAAAACACTCTTGAAAAGAAAGTGTTCAGTAATTTTCTTCTTTCAAAACAACCCAAAAGTTCTTCCTAGAGGTTTCTTAAAATCCCAACCTTAAACATTTCTTTACTCGCGTGATACCCTCATTGAGAACTTCTTAAGGAATCTTTTTAGGGACCTACTTCATACATGAACAATTTATTGGGAGCTTGTGTATTCTCTACGTCTTTAAATGTCTGTGGTGCCTTGTTTTCATAATGGGTTTCGGAATTTGTAGGCTCCAGTAAGTCGCGGTAATCTTAAGTTAACTAAGATGGGTTGCAATTGAATGACGTAGCTGACATAGGATGAAACGGTACTGAGATCATTCGCTTACATTGTAATAATCCAATTCCGCAAAATTCAGTAATTTTTTTAAGAATCCGCGGGGGATTATGCCGAATCCATTGAATTTTAATTACTATACGTCACTTTGAAAAAAGGCGTTAATTAAGTGAAAATAAGTGGGGTTGATCCTGGAAAGATTTGCAATTCGCTCCTTTTTGGACTACCAGAGCAATCATTATGTGCGGTTCAAACAAAATTTTGCGCAAGATTTTTTGGGATTTAGGCTGTGGGAGAGTTCACCATCATTCCCAAAAACTGCTTTGGTTTACGAATTTTTAGTAAAGAAGGATATCTGGTTGAACCTAATTGTTTTACAGTTTAAAATGGTAAGTGAATTAATTAAACGTGATTGTTTTAGAACACACAAAAGGGGATGATCGTGCAGTTAGAAAGAAGAAAAAATTTATTGTTGGGCAATAATATGTTTCCGTCGCGAGCCGAATTCGATCAAGGGCAACTCAATTAGAGGTGCCTGTGTAAAATTTCTTGCTAAAAAGGGGCTTTCATTAAATTGTTCTATACGTTCGTATTTGGAAAAGAAACACGAATAAAAGTTTGGCGTGTTGGAATGTTCATCTTTCGGTAATAATAAATTACCGCTACATTCTCCTGCTCAAAATATACACACACCTCTGAATGCTAAACAAAATTTTAATCCAACCAAAGGAATGGTATCTGACATTCAATGTAATTTGCCAATCGAAACAAACGAAACGAAACAAGATAACCAAAATCCTTTGTTTGAATTCGATTCTTATTCATAAATGTAATACAAATATGTTCAATAGTTCTAATAGATCAATTCGAGGATCAATTCCTATGAAAATTGCTTCAAACAAAATTAATATGCGAATTACTAAAAATAATCGATCGCTACTTTATACAAATCAAGAAGTTTAAAATAGCTTATAGTAGGCAATTGACGTGGGTAATGTTCTCTATCCCCTTCTTTTAAAAATATAGAAACAGGTCGCTTAGACGGTACAGTTGACTTCGTGATAAATGCGAGATTTTAGTGGAAAAATGTCCGTCCGTATTTCGAATACAAGTAAACTGGCTTCAATTTCGCGACTACCCACTCCCTCACGTTACGCTCAAATCACGTGCTTGTTTGACAAGCGCTTTTCAGATTCGCGTAGATTTTTTTTATTATTTGAAAATAAAGCGTTGCTACAAATTAAACCAACCTCCCGTTTTTAAATACAATTAAGCTTGCAGGTAACTAGCAGTTTGTCACCAATCAAATTTCAATTACACACTTTTTAACTAGGCGATCCTGTTTACATAGTTTGTTACTTAAAAAAACCTGGTCAAACTTTACAGCTACTAGATAAACTTTCACGTACGAACCGTGCCCGGGGCTCTTGAATTTAAACCACTAATTCTTCGTCAATACGCGGAATAACAATTTTTTCGCAGACAAGTAGTACGTGCTTAGTCTTTTAAAGTCCATCCTCGTGTGCTTCTTACAATCCGGTCTCAAAAATGCACACTTTGTTCTTGCTCTTATTCGAGACATACTTTTCTTCACGTTCGCTATGAAGCGGTATATGTCTAAAATTTACGAATTTTGAAAATAAAACTTTTGAAACTCTAATGCGACCACCCATTACATTTCTCATCAAACCCTACTACCTAAAATCTCTTGCGAATAAAGCGTTGGATGAAGTTACTAACACAAGGACAGTGTGAGGTAGAGATGCGACATATTCGTCGGTGGTGGAAGACTGACTACCTTCTAAAAATGGAAAGCGGACGGTATTGATCCGATGTGCCCCTGAGTGGAGATAAATTGTATCTCGCCTTCTCTCTCTTCTTGTTTGAGACTTTGTTTGTCGATTCTACTCAATTTGAATTCCTTTGTTTTACTTAGAATAAACATTGTTTTTTGTTTTCTTTTACTTTTTTTTCTTCCCTATATTTCCCTTTCATTTCATTTACATTTTTTTGAAATTATGCGAGAGAAGTTACTAGCAGAGAGATTTCAGCAATTCATTTATCACATTCTAGATTTGCCGGTTCATGCTATTACTTTCAACCTCTCTTATTGCTACGCGCCCCCGACATGATCAAACAAATCGCCATAAAAGACTTCGAAAATTTCATTGATCGCATTCAGTTTTTACGTGACGATATCGAGCCGCTGTGGACGAAGAGCATATTCCTGCTGAGAGGTAATTTATTTTTAGCTAAGTTTTTCAACTGCTATACCTTTTCTTTTTTTAGGTGACGAGTGGAAGGCCATGCGAGCAACTTTGAGTCCATCGTTTACTAGCAGCAAAATGAAGGGGATGTTCGGTTTAATTAAGGAATGTGCGGAAAACTTCGTCAAGTTTTACGAAGATAGACGATCGTCCGCTGAGAGCGTCGACGTTAAGGACGCCTTCGCCCGATACGCAAATGACGTAATAGCATCGGCCGCCTTTGGAGTGACGTGTAATTCCCTCGAGGAGCCGAATAACGAGTTTTATCTAATGGGAAAGCAGGCCACTGATCTGAGTGGATTTTGGAAGAATATATCGATCATTTTCGTTTCTTTTTTTCCAAAACTTGCCAAGGTATACACGCTTTTCTGACTGTACAGACTGAGTGTCTTTCACTTTTAGCCATTGGGATTACGACTGCTTCCGGCAAAGTGCGACAGGTTCTTTCGTAAGGTTATGAAGGAAAACATGGAGGATCGAGAACGGAACGGGATCATCAGACCGGATATGATTCATTTGCTGATGGAAGCGAGAAAGGGCAAGCTAAAACATGACGAAGGTCGAGAAGTCAACACGGGTTTTGCGACAATTGAGGAGTCGGCAATTGGCAAAGAAGAAAAGTTACAAAACTTGCACTTAACAGATGAAATTATTACCGCTCAAGCACTCATTTTCTTTTTTGCCGGTTTCGACTCGTCTTCCACGTTAATGTCGTTTCTTTCGTATGAGCTCGCTGTCAATCCTGACATACAGAAGCGTCTTCACAGGGAGGTGGATGATACCTTGGAGCAGTGCAACGGATCTGTAACCTACGAAGCGCTGTTCAAAATGAAATACTTGGATATGGTGGTATCAGGTGCGCACTTCGATTTATTTTCACTTGATTATTAATTGGTGAATTTGCAGAAACGTTGCGGAAATGGCCTACGATAACTGCAATTGATCGACTTTGTGTAAAACCTTACACTATAGTACCCACAAAGGATGGGGAGGAACCTGTACATCTCGAAGAGGGAGATTTAGTATGGTTCCCGATGTACGCCTTGCACAGAGACCCCAAGTATTATCCCGAGCCGGAGCGATTCGATCCCGAGCGATTTAGCGACGAGAACAAGTCAAAGATCGTACCGTACTCGTATTTTCCCTTTGGAGTCGGACCTCGCAGCTGCATAGGCAACAGGTTTGCGTTACTCGAAACGAAGTTGCTGTTCTTCATCCTTTTGTCTAAATTTGAGCTTACTGTTGTCGAAAAAACCGATATACCTCTACCTCTGTGTAAGAAACAGTTTAGTTTGGCTGCGTCCAATGGAATTTGGGTCGGGTTCCATTCTAGAAGAAAAGAGCTGGATTGACAATGATTATGCTGCTTCTTTTGGTGTGGTCTTTACGAAAAAACCTGCGTCACAGTATTAACATTAAGTAGTATTAGCATCATGCACTTAAACCAAATAAATGTTTATGTAGACAATTAGGTGTTTTATTAAGCGGCAAAGCAAAGCAATGCAAGAGTTATAGGGGAGTCGATGTGGTCCGTCCGTCCGTGCCCGGTTCAGACTTTGCGCAGTTAACATATATACCACATGTAACAAGCCAATTGAAAATGGGTCAAATCCAATGACCCCGTAGGGTCACGCTTCTCTGTCTCTGCCAAACGCTTGAACCTATTCGGTTGAAACTTTGCGGCTCCGTTAACTTAGCACCACCATTTCAAATTTCTGACTAAAGACAGATTGCGCTAGAATCTCTATGGCCACTTTGAGTTCAGCTAGCGCCATTATAGATTTTGCAGAAAAGCCTTTGACTTTCGGGGGGTGCTATGTTAACGCTAGCACCACCATTGCGTCCGATCATTTCCAAAAGCAAGCGCTGTGTTCATCGAACCTAGCGCCAGCTAGCACCACAAATTTTAGAGCTAGCACCACCATTTTGACTTTTCATGTAAAATTTTGACGTTTTGTGTTCTGCTGACCTAGCGCCACAATATTAGAGCTTCCATCACCCTCCAATAGTGTGTGTGTGGGGGGGGGGCACCACCATTTTGTCTTTTCGGGTAAAAATTTTATGTATTCTGTTTTGTAGACCTAGCGCTCAAGAAAACATAGCGCAATTATAGATTTTGCAAAGAGCCTTTAACTTTTGGGGGTGCTATGTTAACGCTAACACCACCATTGTGTTCGATGACTACCAACAGCAAGCGCTGCGCTGTGTTCTTTAAACGTAGCGCCAGCTAGTGCCACAAATTGCAGAGCTGGCGCCCAATCCCCAACATTTTTGCTATTTTGTGTTTTGCTGACATATCTCCCTGTACAGAACGATCAATCCAAAAAGTAAAGGATTTCAAATTAAAATAATTCGTTTATTATTTCCGGCCCTAAGAGGGACAGATTTGCACATTAGGGTTTAAAAATGGTAAAAAGTTTGACCATCCCAGATGCGGTGTCTGTCCGTCTGTCCGTTACCACAATATCCCGATAACGAATGGATCGATTACGATGAAATGTTGTAGTTGGATTCTTTATTAAATTTGTAGATCGAAGTTCGTGAATTGGCAATATAGCGCAAAAAATATGGAAGGCCCTTTTGACATCTGCGTGAGTTTTGAACCGAATTGCATGAAATTCAATATGCGTATTATAGCTTTAGCTATATAACACGCAATTCCAAAAGTTGAGCCTAATCTATCAACAGTCACAGTGCCCTTTTCGCATCGACGTGTAAATAAATATAGAAAACGAGCTCCTGGATATGGCTACAGCATGTGCAAAACCAAATTTTGAACTTGGTGGTAGTTTTGCTTTTATTTAAAGTGTATATGCATGAAATTTCATTTAATTGCTTCCATAAATAAGAAAATTGGCACCGCACATCATGCACAAAACCAAATTTTGAAACTGGAGTTAAATTTGCTTTTATTCCAAGTTGCTATGTATCAAATTTCTTTTAAATGCTTCCATAAATAAGAAAGTTTTCAATCCGGTTTGTAAATGGTCGAGATGCGAAAAAGACACTGTGAATGTTGATCCATTAGGCTCAACTTTTGGAATTGCGTTTTATATGGCTAAAGCTATACGCATATTGAATTTCATACAATTCGGTTCATAACTCACAGAGACGTCAAAAGGACCTTCCTTATTTTTTGGGCTATATTGCCAATTCGCCAACTCCGATCTACAAATTTGATAAAGAATCCATCCATTTCATCGTAATCGGTCAATTCGTTATCGCGATATCGTGCTAACGGACAGACGGACAGACACCGCAAAATTATAAAACTAGCTCTAAAATTAGTGACGCGTTAACATAGCACCCCCCGAAAGTCAAAGGCTTTTTTGCAAAACCTATAATGGCACGAGTTGAACTCAAAGTGGCGCTAGCTGGCGCTAGGTCAGCGGAACACAAAACGTCAAAATTTTACATCAAAAGACACAATGGTGGTGCTAGGAAAAATTGCTCCCCTCACTATTGGGGGGTGGCGCTAGCTCTACAATTTGTGGCGCTAGCTGGCGCTAGGTCTGACGAACACAGCGCTTGCTTTTGGAAGTGATCGGACGCAATGGTGGTGCTAGCGTTAACATAGCACCCCCCGAAAGTCAAGGGCTTTTCTGCAAAATCTATAATGGCGCTAGCTGAACTCAAAGTGGCGCTGGCCATAGAGATTCTAGCGCAATCTGTCTTTAGTCAGAAATTTGAAATGGTGGTGCTAAGTTAACGGAGTCAAACTTTGCACAGTAGACTTATATGCCACATGTAACAAGTCCCTGCTGCTTTTTTAGACGCTCTTTGTGAGTTTATTAGTTACAAGTTCGTTCATCACTGGCGTAATTTTGAAATGCATTAATATTTTTAGATATTTTGCAACTTGTTACAACCTTTCGCCTATTTTAATGATTCAAGGCCCGGAGTTGGTTAAACAAATTACCGTAAAGGACTTTGGCCATTTCGTCGATCGTCGATGTTCGTGAATGAAGATGTCGATCGCTTGTGGGCCAAAACCCTGTTTTTACTTAGAGGTAGGTAGTAATTATCCAGCAGGATCCTTTCGTGAACCGTCTTGTCTTAGGTGATGAATGGAAAACGATGCGATCCACCCTAAGTCCTTCCTTTACCGGCAATAAGATGCAAGGGATGTTCGGGTTATTAAAGAGATGCACGGACGATTTGGTACAGTTCTACGTTGACCATCCGTCGGCCGCTAAGACTGTGGATATCAAGGATGCGTTTACGAGATGTGCGAATGATGGAATTGCATCAGCTGCGTTTGGTATCACTTGCAATTCTCTGGAGAATCCCAATAACGAATTCTACAAAATGGCAAAAAAGGCAACCGATGCAACTGGGTTTTGGATAAATCTAGCCTTTCTTGTTGTGTCTCTCGGCCAACCCTTAGCTAAGGTAAATTTTAAAAGTAGTATCAGATCATATAACCTGGATGTTGCTTTTAGTTACTCAACCTTCGGGTACTATCAAAGGAAGCAGACAAATTCTTCCGCAATCTGGTTAAAGAAACCATCGATGTACGTGAAAAAAGTGGAATCATTAGACCCGACATGATTCATCTGCTAATGGAATCGAGGAAAGGTAAACTGAAATATGACGCCACACCTGAGGACAACGAAAGGTTTTCAACGTTCGATGAAAAGGGCGAGCAATTGGCAGAACTTACAGATGAAAACATCACGGCACAGGTGCTCATCTTCCTCTTTGCGGGATTCGATTCGACTGCCACCCTGATGACTTTTCTCGCATATGAACTGGCAGTCAACCCTGACATTCAGGTACGCCTCAAAGAAGAAATCGATGACACACTGCGTGAATGTAATGGATCTCTGACCTACGAAGCAATAATGAACATGAGATATATGGATATGGTCATTTTAGGTATGCCGCTACACTAACACCGTGAACTCTATAACGCGTTCGCACCTCCAAATGCAGTATGGTGCTTATGGACATACAGTACATGCTTGCCAAACGTGACAATGACAGCATAAGGAGATTATGTTTTGTTTTAATACTTCAATTTAATCAAATGTCAATTTGACATCAATGCGGTTAGAAATAAGGATAGTATTATCGAAGAATGACGCAAACTAGTCAGAGAGGCAATTAGTCCATAAGACCCCATACTGCATCTGGAGGAGCGAACGCGCTATAGTTATTACCTTTCAGAAACATTGCGCAAGTGGCCCAGTATCATCGCGATAAATCGCATTTGTCTCAAACCATACACCATCGACCCAATCACTCCTGGTGAAAAACCAATACATGTGAACAAAGGGGACACTCTGTGGATTCCAGTATACGCCATGCACAGGAACCCGAATTTTTATCCGGAACCCGAACGTTTCAATCCGGAACGTTTCAGCGATGAGAACAAGTCGAAGATCGTCCCTGGCTCGTACTTTCCATTCGGCAGTGGACCGCGCCTTTGCATTGGCAATCGATTTGCGATGCTTGAAACTAAACTCTTGTTTTTCAGTCTGCTGTCAAAATTTGAGATAATTGCCGTAGAGAAAACCCAGATAGATTTGGCTGTTGAAAATACAATTTGGGCCGGTTTCCGTCTCAGATAAATGTACCAACGGAATCAAAATACTAATGATTTAATAAAGTACTAGAGTATACTCTTTTTTGCTGGTTTGATGTTCATTCTTAGAATAAAGCATAAACAGGTATAAGCCCGTGGGTTATCGTAGGGTAGATTTCCAGCGTAGGTCGATGGTCACCAGGATAAATAGGTACCACAGTGTGGATTCGGCGATACTACTTCCATCCAACGGTTTCGAATGGCACGCTAAATCTACATAAAATTCTTATATCAATAGTTCACGGGCGATATTGGATGATTCACTGATTTCATCTCAACTCTCCTCGTCTGAAATTGAGAAAATACGAGGGTAACCCTCTTAGTTGATGTCATAGATTGTACATCTCTCTTAAATAAGAGGGCTAATTATAGATGACGCAACAATTGCCGTTGGAAATTGTAACAGATAACAGCCGAAACTAAAGAAAAGGTACGCTTCAGTTACAGAAAGTGCAAATGGCGGTACTCACAATAAAGAAGAAAAAACGCAATTATATCCTCTCTTCCACTTCAGTAATTATTCCAGTATCCTCAATTCAATTAATCAAATTGCCAGAGAAATAAAATTTGGACGATGGCAATTCAAATTCGATGCGTTCTCAACTGAATTGATACGCAGTACGCCGTAAGATTGCGCGGTAAAATGCCAACAATAAATTGAGCCATCTATTTAAAAGTTACGAGGATCTTTCAAGTAAATATACCGTGAACACTAATAATTCTTGCAATGAAGAAAACAAACCGTTACAGCCCTAACAGGAACGTCAGTAACAAAGCATATATTAATTAGCGGTAGCTATGGGAAATCAAATACAGGGAAAAGCAATACTATCCTTATAGTTAGTGGGAGAAAGATAGCACACGTTTAACTTTAATTAACGGTACGGTGTCGTAAATAAACATTTCAAAACGTACGCGAGTACAGTAAAAACGTCAAAAAGATTATCTTTGGTTTCAGTTGAAGCAGTAAAGGGCAAAAAGATCTCCTCTAAACAACGGATTTACTTGTTATAAAATTCGGCTATTTCATTGAGATCGACGGTTTTTCCAGCCGGTACAGCATATTCGATTGTTTACATCCAAAAGTTAAAACTTTTTGTTTCTTGGTTCAGATGCGATTTACTGCGACTCATTTAATTAGCTACTGTTAATTACACTTACTTAACTTGCCGGATTAAAATCTAAATTCGGTTGCCTAGTAAAGCTAAACTTTCTTTTAATGTCAGTTTGTTTGTATGTGTGTTTTTATTTCGGTTGAAAAACGTTCCTTCCCGTGTATTTTAGTAATGGTTAATAAAAGGGCCTTACGAGTGAATTACAAGATGGATTTATAGTTTCTTTATATCGTCGTGTATAATACAAAACTTTATTGTATAGCAGAAACCATACAACTCATAAAACTTAAGAACTTAAGTAGTGAAATATAGCAATGTTGGGTTATGTGTTCTCTGTTCTGAACTTCTTTTATTCCGTGCTCCGCGTCCTATTTTTAATAAGAATGGCAAATGTCATTAGAATGCAAATTTCTTTCAATATCTACCCTTGCGGTCAAAAAGATCATTCTTATCCCTCTTACTGTTAAAGGGAGACAGCGTGCTCATTTAAAACTTTAAACACCAATCCGAATCTGTTTAAATATTTCTCCACAGCGTACTCGACGTCCTTCTCTCGAACTTCTTAGGATTTTCAACCAGTGTCCATAAAAAGAGATGATTTGAGAAATTCCAGATGGCGGCGCGGTGAAAAACCGTTCTTATTACATTACTAAAAGAGCTCATAGTGTTGTAAGCGCTTTAAGAGACTCTTCTACATCCTAAGAACCGCCCCCCCCCCGCGTATACGTTCTGAGAAGCGCTAAAAAGGTGTATAAGCTCCTGTAAAGGCAACCGGCGGTCCTCAGGGTTTTCTTTCCGCAGCCTTCTTGTGTTAAACACATATCACAAATGTTGACGAATTTTGTAGCGCATTTTTTAAGAATAAAAAAAATGTGCTATTGTTTGCGTTTTGTTCGTCCGTCCGTCCGTCTGTCCATCCGCCCGGACTCACTTCTACCATTTAAGCTACTTCTACGGGAATGGTCCTAGAGTGCATGAATTATTCACTGAGATGCTGTTTTTGGAAGTAAAACGTGCACAACTTGTATATACGACAACCAATTGCTCTCAGATTTTCCATACGTATGCCTTTAGTGGTGCCAAGTAAAACTTTTGGAAATGGGTGGGGGGGGGGCACATGTTCTGCCCTTCATGGTATTCTAATGAAAGGTCTCATTGAAATAAATTGGTTTGTACAAACTATAACTTTCCCGAGCGCTTCTTTCGCAAGATCAGAGGGTGAAGGGGTTGAGGGGAGGGGTGTGTAAATTAATTTTATCTTTTATGGTATTCTAATGAAAGGTCTCAACCGTTTTCTACCAACTACCGCCCTTCTTTCTGTCCCCTTATCAAAACAAGGGAGGTAGGGGGGGGGGCGCTACAACTGGTAATATCCTTCATGGTACTCTAATGAAAGGTCTCAATCTCAACGAAAGGAATTCGAAAGAGGGTACTACTCACAAAGGACGATTGGGACGTCTAGAAGAAATATATCCATTGGTGATATCAAAACTTTAAGAGCGAATATCTCGATAACGGTTTGGCGGAGGAAAGTACTCTTTAGATTGTTATGTAAGGGTTTTAGACCATTCCCAAAGAAATTCACAGCCCCTTTCTTTCCAAGAAGTGTTTAATTTTGTTTTTATAATGGAAACCTTCCAACCGGTTTTGGAATGTGGTAGAAATGCCGGAAAGCTGTTGAAATGCTTTCCAGTCTTCGAAGCAATATTGAAAGTGAGTTTTCAGGATTCCTTTTCATAGCTTTCCAAGACATCTTCTGAGCTCTCTAACTTCTGGAGCGTCGAAAATCAACGGGAAAGCTCTGAAGAAGCCTCTTTAGGCCTTATCACCAATTTGAAATCAAATACCGAAGAGTTAAGCAATCTAGAAATTGGTAATGGTTTATTAATTGCGCAAATAATTTGTATTTTCACAGTATACTGGTATAATGGGAACCTGATCAAGTGGAGTACTACAGTCGCCAATAGCCTACTACAACTTTGGAGCATCCTTCCGTGGTTCTAACCCGAGCCAGTATCCATTAGCGCTAAACTGCGAAAAGCTGGCCTTATGTAATTCGAAGGGAATCACCGTCTTCTCAGTCGGGACCAGCCTGTACTTACCGAGAAGGTGGAAAAGAACCAGTTTGGTCTGGAACGGCACTAGGCGCGCACCTGCAGTTGAACAATTACACGGTGATCTACGCCCGATGTAGCTTACCAATACAAAATCTGGAACCGTAACCTAACCCAAGGAGAGTCTCAGGAATAAGCTTGTCTTTATTTTCGTCGTTAAACCGTTCCGGGTCGAACTTCTCGGGATCCTCAAAGTAGTTCCCGTCATGAGAGATGGAGTAAACCGGAATCGTAATGTCTTGGCCGACCTCGAGATGCAGAGGTTTTTCGTGCGGCAGCACCGGCGGTATCGTGTATGGTTTGGTGACGATGCGATCCAGGAAGTTCGTGGGGCTTCTCAAACGGAGACCCTCTATAAATTAACAGTTTACTCAAGAAATGCCAAGAAGATCAAGATAACCATTGCAAACCATCTCGAAGTATTTCATATTGATTAGATAGTCGTAGGTGATGTTTCCGTTACATTGGCGCCACGTCTCATCGATTTCTTCAATGAGCTTCTCTTGCACATCGGGATTAACCGCTAATTCGAAGGCGAGATTACTAATGAAGGTTGCAAATGATTCGAAATTGGCAAGGAATAATCCCAGCAGCTGAATCAGTATATCTTCATCCGTTATTTTGGGAGGGACGTAATTGTCACCCATGTCTTCGCCCTGTAACCCGACCCCTTTGGTTTCGTTGTCAAGGTGCACTCTGCCCTTTTGCGCTTCTCTGAGTAAGTAAAGTACGTCGACATGTACGATGTTGTGCTTCTCTCGATACTCCACTGTGTCCTTCATGAGCTTCATGTAGAATTGCTTTGTTTCGTCTTTGAAGAACGTAATTTTGAACATCTGCAAAAGACAGTTGAGCAAATGGATTCACGGATTGCTAGTTACATGTGAGAAAGTTGTGCTTATGGCCGCTCCAAAGTACTTAAACGCCGCCATTTTCGCTGACAAAAATGAAATTTGGGCCATCCTGTAGAACTCGCTGCCGGACTCGTCGAATGAATTGACTTCGATCCCGTACGCGTGGTTGAGGGTCAGGTCGTTGGAGAACTTTAAGAACATTTCGTAGGCGTCCACGGTGACCGTTTCTTTACTTTTAGGAAGGCTTTCAACCAGTCGTTGCGCACACTTGGACATGAAAGGGTACTTCACTTTCGTTTTGGTCTGTGAGTAGGCGGGGGACATTATTACACGGTAGTCGTGCCAGTCACGACCTGCAAACAAACCATTTGGGATACACTCGACCATAACTGACAGTACCTTTCCTCGCGAACAGCAGCTTATTCCAGAACGGATCGGCTTTCTTGGGTAAAAGCTGGCGATGGTCGCTGAAGTAGTTGAAATCCTTAATGCAAACTTGCTTTATAAGCTCGAGATCGCGAATCATCAAGCTAGGGCAACTGAACATGTACAACCCCACGTACCTGCAACGTTACAAGTTCAATCGTGGTTCAACCCATAATCATTCTTACCTGTGGTCGTGGTATTTGTCGTATATTTCCTTGTGGATGTTGGCCAGTGCCTTTGTTTGAATAGTCGTTGGCAGCATGTTACCAAATATCGGAATAGGCGTCTGGTAGGGCACCGATAGCTTGCGCCAAAATTGAAATATGCGATACTGTCGGTAAAGGAACAGTACCAGACCAACCAGGGCGATTAGTACTACGACCCCCATTTTGTGCTGGAACGTAACGTGAATATGACTAAATAATAGAGCTCCCTGCATATTTGTTCAAATTATGTATTGATTTAAGGTACCTACATTTTCTGGTTAAGAAATTTATGTTTATACCTATAACGTTTGCATCTTGAATTATCAGATGATGTATTCATTGATTTGTAGATGTAATTCAGGTAACGTATCGATTTTGATTTGGTGGCATATTTAAAATTGGCGCTTTATCTGAGCAAAACGAACATTTCAGGTATTTCTACATGCAAAGCAAAAAAGGTAAATTTCTTACAACGAGCTATAAGCTAAGGAGCAAATACAAGTCAACGAGTCAGTAAGAAAAGTCAACATCATTGGTGTAACCAACATGGAGGTACCTCGTTGTTGTAAGAAAGCTCGAGAGGACATTGGAAAGTATTTGATGGGAAATTCGGGAAAGTTTCGGGTGAATATAAAAAAAATTTGAGGAAGATTTAAGAGGAAATTGAGAAGAATTTGTGCCGAAACTAACGAAAGGTTGAAGGAAACATAAAGGAGAACAACTTCAAATTGATTTCTGGAAAAACTTGATGGAAACTTCAGATGCGTATCTTACCAACAATTGACAGGAACTAAAATCGTATTTGACGCGAAAATACGATGTGCTTCGAAGGGACTAAGAGCAACTTGACAAGAAGACTTCAGACTAACTTAAGGGGTCTTAAGATAAAGTTGAGCAAGGTTTGAAAGGAGCATGAAGGGAATTTGAGGACATTGGTAACTTCATATTTCAGTTGAAGGCTGGAAACACTTTTCTGAAACCAAAGGTTCTATCTGGCGGTTTGCCTATTGATACAATAATCATAGAATCATTGCTAGAGCGTTTGGTTAACTCAGTAATAGTCTTTATAATCAACGCCAAAAGTCACTCATTGTAAGGGTTATAACTCTCATTGTACATAAAATGTTGTGCAAATTGTGAATTATTTCGCTTCGGCATCTGCAGTAATGAAAAATCACCCTGTATGTGCATTTCAATTATTACTAACGTAAAATGTTGGTTGGAATTTGGGATAAGCACAATTTCGGTTATCAGTTGAATTCGAGGTCAATATGTTGTGATAATAATATTTGATTTTGTTTAAATATTTGTTTTGTTTATTTTGTTTAGGTAACTGGACATTTAAATTACGTGCTAAAAGACTACAATTATTCAGTCTGGAAGTGATTTGCCTATTATTTGGGAAAGTGTAAAGTATTTTTTCTCCAGTTGCAGATAAAAAGTTTTCTAATTACTGCAAAGCTAATCAGTTTCAAGATATGGACGTGTTATCGCCGAAGTTTAATATATGGGTACAAATTATTCTAAGACGAAGGAAGTAAATAGAAATGGACAAGGTTTTAAAAAAGCGAACCGGACGTTAATCGTGGCTCTTTTTGGGTGGAAGAAGTGAATTATGTTTTTTGGACGTTGAATCGTAGTCGTATTTGAGCGTATTTGTTTGAAAAGCAGCCCGTTTTGTCGTTATCGAGATCTTTTGAAAAGACAGTCGGTTTTGTTTAATTGTAAAGTTGTGTCTCTTGGCTTAAGCAACGGACAAAACGCCCACAGCACCTACGCTGAATATGAAAAAATACTTTAAAAATTCAGAATCTTTTTCACATTGCAGATACAAAAGAAATGGTAATGATATAACATTATTATAGAACAGCAACCGATGAAGATACTTTGTGTTTTGGAGCAATTTTTATAACATAAACGTACACGATGCGCCTAACGTATTTGAAACTCTTTTCAACCTTTAACAACTTTTGTCCCGATTTGCATAAAATTGGAAACTTTTTTTAAGCGGTTGGAGAAAAATGCAGGAAAGTCACCAAAAATAGTAAAAAGACATCTTGTGTGTGAGTGAATTTTTTTAATGCAAATCCGATGGGTTATTTACGAATAAGCACAAAGTTGGTGTGTTTTATTTGAATTTGTATTTCAGTGTTTGGTTTTACTCTTAGAAATTTATTAGTTGCGCAATTTTTCTTTGTGATTGGCGATTTGTTTAAAAATGTTTAAAGACGGAGATTATTTCATGGTGAAAGTGCTGTTTCCTTAAATATTGTACTCAACGTGAAAACGAGGCTGTTGATTTTCGCCACGATTAAAGTGTTTAAATCGATAGATTATTGTTAATATTAGAAATTTAAAAATTGGTTGAGCCCTTTAACACTAATCAATAAAAAATTCCTCTTTTAACAAAATGATTTTCGATCTCTCCCCAATTGCTGAGAGATTCTATCTGCTAAATTTTTAAAAAATGAATAATCCCCTCTTTTATTACTAAATAAAATCTAATTTTGTCTTTTGCATTACTAATCCCGAACGGTTTTTAAAGATCCCACTCGATTCAAAACCTTCACGTTCAACGAATTCCACAACACGCATTTATCTCATGATGAGGGTAAGAAAGACCCCGTTTTTACAGGTTTAAAATTTATACTACAGGAAATTCGAAAAATTTAAATCCAAACCTAAATGCTTTCTCACTTATTTCGTCCGCAAACACCAAATTTCGTTTCAAGTTTCAAGCTGGCGGTAACCTCACAGAATCCTATCTTGGGTTTTAAATTAATATTGATAATAATATTTATTATGCAAAACGATAAAGGGATGTTTTAACCATCGAGTGAAAGATTTTACAAGAGTTAGTTTTCCTTCATTTTCAATTTTCGAGTCGAATTCACAGAAGGAACACGTGGTAACATTTTCCGTTTCCAGGTCACACCCTGTACAAATTAAACCAAGATCTTTCGTTCTTTCTAAGTAAGTTGACAAATTCTTCAGTTATTTACTAAAGGAAGATCCTCGATGGATGGGCAAGAATCATCTCCACCACGAATCCGAAAATTTCGAGTCATAGGTTGAAAGACCTTAACCCAAATTCAAATTTGGATGGGGAAATGAACGAGCTGGGTAGGAAAATTTCTAGTTAATGTCGAAGTTTTCCGATATAAATTGTGCAGAGGGGAATTAGCACTGTTTTAAGTAATTAAGTTGATCAGCGTGATTGCGCTTAAATAAATTTTACCACGAAAGCGTTGTGGTCAAAAGTATAGAACATTTCATTGCGTTTATACTTGGAGTGGTTAGTTACGTTAAAAATCACGTTTATTGACCAAAATTGTGCGCATGTCTTATTTATAAGGAGTGACAATAGGATTTATTTATTTATTTATTTACTTATTTATTTATTTATTTATTTATTTATTTATTTATTTATTTATTTATTTATTTATTTATTTATTTATTTATTTATTTATTTATTTATTTATTTATTTATTTATTGTCCCTCTTTCGTTCTGGGCCCCCAACAAGCTTTCGTCCAATTACAGAGTGACCCGCATAATGATTTTTAGAGGTTCCCCTGCAGAATGTCTTAAGTTCTATACTACTCCGGTGTTTACCTAACGAATTAGGGAAACTGCAGGAAAACCTAATTCGAAGTAGCCGGCAGAATTAATTATTATTTATTATAGATTAAACGGCAACCGGTAAAAAGTTTAAAGGTGATTAATTAGTGCTCTTGCTGGCTGTTAAACCCCTTAGTATACAAGGGAAAATTGGCATTCCCATATTACGAAACATTGATAAATGATTCCGACAAGTAAACAAAATTCCAAATACGAAATTTGGAAAAAATTGAAGCCTGGTTTGATCCTGATTTGAATCGTCAACCATCTTTAAAAATTCACCCTTAACGAGAAGCCAAATTTATCAGGCGATACAAAAGGTGCAATTGTACAGCACAAGGCGTTCCACCATCGAATTTTCCGAATTGCTGCTACTTTTGAAAAGGAGAAAGTCGACGCATCGATAAATGTACCTAAGTTATATGTCATTTTTGCATTGCATAACATCAGTAGTCGATCGTTTTGGTGATTTTGTATAACAATTGATGATCAGTCATTTTAACATTCCTGAAGAGGTCGACCCATGGAAGTTTAACTGAGCTAGCTGTGATATTAATAATTTCATTACAAAAAATTAATTGTTACAATAAAACTTTTACCAGTTCCGTAGAGATTAAACCTTATTTTATGCAAGTGGGGCTTTCAATCCCTGTAAATGTTACTAAACTGTTCCAAACCCATAAGGGTACACCGTAATATGTTTTTCAATCAAAATATTGGTGTTTTGACCTTTTCCACTTAGTAACATGTTAAGCAGAGTTACTTTTAATTTGCTATTGAAACATAGATTATGAGAATATATAGATAGTGATAAGAAAGGTTACTTTGTATATTTATAGAAATTGTGGAATTCATTCGCCACGCAAGCTTAAAGCAAAAAAGCATTGATAATTATTGTTCTAAATCTCCTAAATCCTTCCGATTGTTAATTCTGTTTGAGTAAATATTAGACCATACCTAACACTATACACACACTAAGATGACACACGAACTCAAACTGATGAACTATCAACCACAATTTGGAAAGAGCATTTATCTCGCTTGTTTTTTTTATTTATCTGAAGTTCGATAACTCTTAATTCAATTTTATTTATTTCATCATGGCAGCTTATTGTTCCACTATGTAATGAATAAAGGAATATAGGCGTTTCAATGATATTAATGGCTTTCTAAAATTAACAGTCGACAAATCTGAAGAATCTGAAAACTGGGAGAATCCCAAGCATTGTGAAGTATGCAAGAAAAATTGGAGAATTTTGAATTGCTTAGATTTTGGAACGGCTTGAAGAATTGCTTTGGGAGCAATAGTAGGAATGACTTTCCGACCAAACGCTGGGGAATGGTAACACTCTGGAATCTTCCCCATAAGGTGGGTGTTACGCTGCCCAATACCAGGTTCAATATTTCGGTCTTACTGCGCAAGTGGCTTCGAACTGTCACTCACCTAGGAGGTTGTGGGCGTCAGCTTGACTGAGTAGTAAGGAGCGCAGCATGTCCACTAAAGGACGGGGGAAGGGTCGCCTGGGAGCCCAGCCAGCGATGGGACCAAATACTTTTGATGGCGTTGTTCCTCTTCCAGGTTAACACGGTAAAGGTGACATCAGGAGTAATGTGTCTTTTGCTTCGGCGGAGGAACCTAGCCAGAATTCATGCTCTTCAGGTCTTCCGGGTAACCATCAAATAAAATACTTGTCGCACTTTGGTCGTAGTTAGTAAACGTATTTGGTGATGGTGAAGAAATACCTCATCGATGACAAAAGCTGATTCTTCCAAGTTTACCTTATGCAGTGGTTTAAAGAAGTCATATGGCACACAGGTGTCTATCCCACTCCGACTGCATCGATCAGTGCAGTGGTGCAACCAGAAATGCTAGTCGGGGGGATGGGAGGGAGCTGCGTTATATGGACAACCGGTCAATTAAAAATTTTTTTCACGTGTTTGGGCCCTTAAAGCAATACATACTACGATTTGATAGTCAAACTGGAATCTCGAGTGGGAGGGGGGCTGAATCGGCGAGAGAGGATAGGGTGTGAGCTCACATGGGAGGAATTCTTAAGGTGTCCATCGGATTTAGTCACTACTCTATTTCTGTGGGCAAACTTAACTGTATCAAAGGCCTTTCGCCCAATCACAAAGTAACCCGCATAATGCTTTTTTAGAGAATGTTCACTCTTGAACACTGTTCCGTCAAGCCCTCAAACTTAATGCTCTTCAAAGGTGCTTTAGGCATACATTTGTGGAGTTTCACATTGGAAATGCCACCCATTTTTAAATATTTTCCAGTGTTTCAATTGCCAAACATATGATCATTTGACCATAGCCATCTCCGCATGGTGCAAATTTCACAGGAGGAGGACCTAACTCTGAAATATTGTTGGAATTTGAGGAGAAATGAGAAAATCTTGAAGAGAACCATAGAGGAGAAGAACTTGGAGGCAACACGAAAGGGCTAAAATGCTAGAGAGTATCTTGAGAACTCGGAGAGAAACTTGTGACAAAATTGAGAGAGCAAAACATGAGGATATGAAGAAAAAATGGAAGGGTTTGATACGAACTAGAGGAAAATATGAATTGATGAAGCAACTGAAAGGTGAAAATAGGAACACACATTTTTGGCTTTGAAATTTTCTTTAATTTGAGTTAATTTGGTTTCTTTTGACTTTAGTAACTGCTCACGTCACACAGCATTTAAGGAATTTGTCCCCGAGCCCTCATTTGGATGTCATGAATCTAAAAGCAGCAAGTTTACTCGGCACACTAGCGTTAGTCGATGAAACCTACCTGAATGTGGGGAGGTGTGGCAAGTACGAAAACGATGGTATCTGCCACGTCTTTGGGTTCCAAAAGCGAATGGCCACTGGCGTCGGGCGCCACCAATCCATCAATCGGTCGATCGCTCACCATCTCGGTGTACACCATTCCTGGACTTACAGACTAAAAAAAATAGTCTTTCTTTCGAGTTTACCTGCACGTTAACTCACAGATATCTTAATTTTGCTGCCCAAGGAGATCAATTCTTGTCGAAGAGTTTCTGTCAGTGCGGTAACGGCGTACTTGCTAGCAGCGTAGACGTTCAAGTTGGAATGAAAAAGGACTCTGTGTCCGGATAAGCTGTTCACGTGTACAATGTGACCATCCACGTTATTTTTTTTCATACTTTTAATGGCTTCCCTGGTCATCGCGCAGAGCCCCAGTACGTTGGTGTCCAAATTCTGCTTCCACACGCTGAAATCCCCATCCACCAGAGACGTTTGTAATGCTACACCGGCGTTGTTCACCAGAATATGAACCGCGCCCAAATTCTTTTCTATCCATGCGTAGGCACTTAAAACGTCCTCTTCTTTGGAAATGTCTGCTTGAATGAAGTGGAACTCCCCTTCTTTACCCTTCAGTCTTTTACCTAGTTCTTCGCCTCTGTCTTTACGTCTCGCCAGACCCACCACCTGCGAAAAAGGTAATTATGGCGTACCTGATGCGTTGATGCCGGCTTACTTTTAACCCGGCTTCGACCAGCTGTATTGCCAGAGATTCGCCAATTCCAGATGAGACACCTGTCACGACGGCCACTTTTCCTTTCCATCTTTCCATGTTGATGTACGTTTCGGCAGTAGAGCTTTACAAGTGATACGTGACGAACAATTCTAAGTTACGAAACTTGGAAGAAAAGATAAGATAGGGAGTCAACCTTTGACATGGTAAATAAAATTAATTACAAAAGTAAGTGACCTTGTCCTTGAGAGTAAGAGATGTTTAAGTTCAGTGGATCTCGATGGTTCTAAGTTATTAAAGTCAAAAATTAAAGTTTCCCCGTTAGGAACATTTTTCCCTATTTTTGAAAATAGCCCCCTTCCCTGTTGATTGTTAGAACCAATATTCCAAGGATATCTGTGTCAGGTTTTTAACTCACTCTTACAATGATTCCAAGTTTCAAAGTTTTGGTATTCAAGTTAGTAATTTGAGCTAATTCAATTCTAACACAATTACCATCAAAATGTTGCTTTCTTTCTTGGAAATGCTCAGGAAAATCTTAGGCTGCGGCGTGAAAGTGGTTTGGTATAAACGATTGCTCGCTCCTGGTTTACAATCCTTCTTAGGACTAGCATAAGCAGTCTTTGCTTCGCTACGATAAGAGAACCATCAACTCTAGGAGTAGGTAGATTGAGGCCTAGACACTACGACCAAAGTGCGACAAGTGTTTTATTTGGTGGTTACCGTGAAGAGCATGAAATGTGCTGGGCCCCTCCGCCGAAGCAAGTGAGCGCGTTGCTGGCAGCAAGCTCCTAGAATCACAACAAAGGTCGAAGTACTCAAAGCCTGCATAAGGGCCATAATCAAGTCGCCAACCAAAGTCCGACAGATCGAAGGGGTGCAATCAAGTACCCTCCAAATTTTACTCAGATCTTCGTGGTTAGTCAGGAACGACACGATATAAGACGACCTCGACATCACCACCGTTGGAGACCACATATGCTCACTGACCGGGTAGATCTTCAACGGAATAGACAACTCCACCATCGCTCATATCAGTTGCGAGAACGCAAAAAAGGCACAAGAAACGTCTTGGAGCGACTATAAATCAGTACAGAAAGACAAAAACGAGCCGTAAAAGTAAAAGCCAATCAATAGGCTAAGGTTGAGAAACCAGGGTGCAGTTCCCAGACCACCAGTCGATGTGTTTAGCTTTTTTGTCATTTAACATCGGTAACGAGTAGATATATTGACCTAACTTTCCTTATTTTAATTACGATGACCCGCTTCATTTACTCATCCCGAATATACCTACGTACCACATGATTTATTATCTTACTTTATTTACATACGCATTTCTTCCTTTAGCTTTTTTAGGGTTAAATAAAAAACCGACTTGAGTTACAATAAATGAAACAATTATTTTACTTGCAATGCGTAAAACACACCCATTCACACGCACGATTATAATGGCGTGTTTATTTTTAGAATATGCATTAGAGATTGTCACGTTATCTCAAACAATTACCTTTATCTTTCCCAAATAAACAAAATATTAATAAATCAAAAGGATCGAAACTGACACATTTGCATTAATCAGTATCTCGATAACAAATAGGGTATTTCTTGCAATTGTTAGGTTAAAGAATTTTTGTACCTGAATCATTTATAAAGAAAATAAACAAGTAAGACCTTGACTACACGCTTGATTCGCAAAATTGTTGTGTGTTAAAACGTAATTAGACCCACGACATTGATTAGAGAAAAATTTTGATGACATTACTTAACAATTAGGCACCCGAATTCATTCCAAATCTCTTAAAGCTAAATACAACGTCCCACCTGACATTGTTTACACAGCAATATTTTAAATTAATTTTCAAGTAGAGACACTCAATTCGAACCAAATTGATTTTAATTGTAATTAATTGCTTACTTCAATGAGAGTACTTAGCGGGGGTTGGTGTCCGAATTGAATTGAATTAACTTTAACTTTTAAGTTACTTCTATTTCCAAGTACAAGTTTGCAATTCGAACGGAACTTCCCGAGATAGCAGCTAAGCTTTCAGTAGATGAAGTCAAAATGGAGGTAGTTACACTTTAGGGTTAATTTCGAAGCTCAAGTGCTCAATTTGAACTCAAATCCCAAATGCGTTGTGATTTCACTGCTAGAAGTCACAAAACTTAAGAGTTCTTCCAGCGAATTGCTACGCGAGTAAAGAAACAAATAAAAGTACACACGAAACCATTAAAAATTCGCTAATAATCATGATTGAGCGCGAATTCGTTGGTTTCCTTGGTCTGGCGTTCGTCTATTATTTACACAAAGTCCTGAAGTTGAGCACTCTACATTTCTTTTTACCTGATCCCGCCTCTGTAATGAATATTTTTCTGATATTAATACATCGAGAGAGCGGGGCGCACCTAAAAATTTGAAATTTGTACACCTTCAAAATTCAATATCTTCCAATTTCCGAAATGACAAATCAGTTTCGTGCTTTAAAAATACTCTACAATTGAAATTCTTGAAAGGGTATAGAAACAAACGCCACAATCTAAAATGTGGGTAATTACAACTGTGCGTTTAAATTTAAATTTTACAACAGGAATTCGAAATAGTAATTTATACGTGTATCAAAATAGAAACAGCGGCTCTAAAATTAAAATTAACTGTCCACAATTGAAATAAATTGAAGATCAAAGTCTAAAATGAGTTGCCGACAATGAAAAAAAGGTTAGCGAACGTAGTTAGAAACTACAAATTTAGATCTAAAGTTGAAGAAAATAATTATTTTTAGTACAAATGAGCAAAGACACTCGAGCTTTAGATTTCAACACACGAGCGAGTGTTTCATCTAGCGCGCCGTTGCTCAAGTGCTGATCATAATGTTTTTTCACTACTAGCCTATGACGAAATGATTATTAACCTTTTTGTCGCTTGCAAAGTAGACTTTCTCGGCAGCTTTTGAAAGTGGTTAATAATGAACTCATTATTAACCAGTAGACAACTCTCACGCTGTCACTTTTAAAAATCACAACCCGAAATTTGGCTCAAGACAGGTTCTCTAAAATGAATAATTGCCACCATTCTTCATTCTCAGAGAAATTACGTACTTAAAACTGTCACATTTTGGAAAGATTCAAGCGAAATTATTTTTTGAAAATAATAAAATGACAGTCTAACCGATTTACACTGTCACACACTTGATTGACATGTAACATTAATAAACACAAAATTCTGTCAAACCGTTCACTCTCTTACAGTAATATAATCTTGGTGCTCAGCCAACAATCCCAGACTTCCCTACCTTGGTATACAGTGTGTCCTCGGATTGACTTCCCTATACGTTGGTTAAAAAAAATTTCGGTGTCCCAGCCTGATTGGTCTGAAAAAAAAATCCAAATTGGCGGTGACAATTGAAAAAAAATAATTATATTGATGTAAAGTGCCATTTTTCAATAATGCGGCAAACTAAAAAGAATAGGAATATGTTGCGGTTTCATTCAGCCAATTACCAAGGATTTCTTTAGAATTTTTTTGATTACTTTCAATAAAAATGTAACTCCATCTCTCGAAGAGAATCGATCGCTATTTTTTTTACAAATCAAAAAAGTTACTTTACCTTAATGATAGTTAGAATCGATAGTTTTCCTATGGTGCAAATTGGCTCGGCACTTCTCGAAGAAAACCTGAATTACTGAAAGGATTATACAGTTGAATGTTTTCCATGATTGCTCGTACGATTACCGGTGCGGGTGTAGGTAATAGTTCGGTAATTGAAACAGCTACTTTTACTGTCTGCTTTCGACGAAGCGTTCCTTACGCAATATTTTCTACTAATAGCGCACTGCAAGGCCACATCGTCATTGTTCAGAGTGCGGGGGACCCCATCTAGCATCAGGTACGGCCGTAATGGGGACAACACTCCACCCTGAGGGCACCCTCTAGTAATCAAGGAGCTCACCTCCGTCGTCCCGATTGAGGATATACATAATAACCCTGCTTCCGAGCATGGCGCGGATCCATCTTACGATTGACCCATCAATCCCAAAGCCTCCAATAGCGTCACTAATCGAACCCAACGTGGTGTGTTAAACGCACCTTCGATTCCATGGTTATCACCGGCAGAAATTCCCCTCCCAAGCCTGTGAAGAGCCAGCTTTCGGGGGGAGGAAGAAAGGGTACACCTGGCTACTTGAGGAGAGTTGTGTATAGTTATCCCAATGACAAGAAGAACGTAGGGAAATTACCGTCTGGGAAGAGTTACCTTTTTGTGTCCAACGGAGGAGTGCCACAAGGATCAGTGTTAGGACCACTCTTGTGGAATATTGCGTACGACGGGATTATAAGACTGGGAGTCCCGACAGGGGTGGACCTTGTCGCTTACGCGGATGACATTAGTGTAGTGACTAGAGACCGCAAGTTAGAGTGCACCGCTCAAAAGGCTCAGAGGGTTATATCGAAGGTGCAAAGATGGAAAGAGGAACGAGGCTTTAAATTAGTAGGAAGTAAAACCAAGGCAGCCCTGATCACCGGGAGAAGGAGACATCCGGAGGTTAACCTGATGGTAGACCATACGAGAGTACCACTAGAAAAGTCAATAGAGATATTAGGATTGAAGATAGACAGGAGACTAACTCTCATACAGCACGCAGAGAAAGCGGTAGAGAAAGCCAGTAGATTGGCGGAGAAGTTAAATCGACTGATGTGGAACACAGGCAATGTATCAAATACAGATCTGTTCGTGGTGGCCCGCACTAAGATTGAAGATCAGCGCGAGGTTCGAGGGTAAGAATAACAGGGAGGTCTTTAACGCGTGGGAAGCAGAATGGCAGGCCCGGGAGTCGTGGACCAAGTCGGTCATAGGGTACCTGAACAGGTGGACCAAAAGGAAACACGGCGAAGCGAATTAATTCGTCACGGAGAAAACGGGGTGTACCACAAAAAAATACAAAAGAGGGAGCAAGATAGATGTAAGGACTGCGGAGCGACAGACGACGCTGGACATGGTGTATTATATTGTCCCAGGTGGGAAGCCGAAAGATTAGGATAGGAGAAATTTTAGATGAAGGTAATATTATTGGTATAATGCTGGAATCGGAGGAGAAGAGACGAATTGATAGTCCAAATAATGGGCACACGGGAAAGGGACGCGAGAGCGGAAGTGGGAAACAGACAGGCATAAGAATTTACTAAGAGATCACTCGCAAAGGAATGCCACTGGCGATACCCGCAAAGGGGGAAGTGGTTTAGTGGGTGCAGGCTCCACACTACTTGCTATATAGTCAGGCGGAGGTGTGCGATAGGCATTCCACCATCCCCAAAAATAAAAAAAAGCTTTCAGGGATATCCCGTCCGGTCCTGCACTGCTAAATGGGCTGAATGTGTTGATAGCCCATCTCAGAAATCCCTCTGAAAGCACCCGCATAGCTAATTTCCAGTCCATCGGCCTTGCATCTGTCCGGGTAGATCCGTTTGGTGGGTCAGAAGTTAGATGGTCTACAGAACCTGGAAAACGTGTCTCCAAGAGAAATGTGAGAGCCGGTAGACGTACATCTGCCGCATGGAAACCTCAGTGTCTCCACTTTTTGTCGCATTTACGAAGTTTTCGAACTCGAAGAAGACCCTCTATATTACCACAGACAGTCCTCCATGGTTCTCGCTTAGATCTTCGAATATGGTCCTTATACTTTCCATCTGCCCTGCGTTTCGACAGAATAAAGGTGGCCTATCCCACCGCTCTGATGGTTTTTCCACCTAGCCAATCAGTAGATCAGGGATTTCGAAGTCTACATGACCCGCCGTGGGATGCCATGATTAATTAGAAAAGACTCCAACCCGCTCAACGTCAGATCGAAAATCTCCTGCCTCCGCCCTGTGACGGGTAAGAGGGGGATAGTCCCTCAATTAAATCATTCAATCAGTTGTTTGCAAGTACTCCAGAAGGCGGTTGTCGCTTTGCATCACAGTCGTCCAGAAGAGGGAGCCACCATTTCCACCGTACTTTATTACAAGGTCCCTGAAGCAGTAATTATCCATTAGATAAGACTTGATTCGTCCATCGACATAAATGTTAGTCCTGGCGTTCAATTGGCTGTCGCTCTTATAACAAAGAGAGTCCTCCACCCGAGCAAAACCTCTTACGCGTCTCCTGTAAGCCCAAGTTTCTTGAATGAGCATTTCCCAATTGGTTTCTTTCAGCCCAACGAATCATGCGCGCTTAAGGCCCAACAATAAAAACCCACGACCGTTTTAAAATTACAAATTCAGCGCTTCCACGCAGCTTTTATCATGTTTAAGCCTGATTTAGCTGTTTTGGTCACGTAAACCACATTGTGATTGGATTATCGCGCGTCGGCTGCAGGCGACCGATCATGCCGCATTCGAAAACCAATGGCCTGTAAAATATTGACTTTTAAAACGTTGAAAATAACAACATTTTGGAATTACCAGCCCTCTAAGGGGACCACCCTGTAACCTTTCTATAACCTACAAAATATTTAAAAAATACTACATAAGCTGAGCTAGTTGGCCGTTTATGCAGATGGCTTGAGGAAAGCAGCACCAACTCTACCTATCCGTTTACGTTTATATAAAGCGACTGTATCAAAACAATGATTACTCCAATAAGAACGTTAGATTTCATATTTTATTCTCAATTTCAAAGTAAAGACGTTCGAAGACTATTTCGTGTGCTTTCTTCCGTGCATGTTTTAAAATTTTGGTAAAAGATGGCTAAAGGCTGAAGGTTTTGGGATGATATGATAGGAAATTCTACATCAATGGAAGGTGACACAGGCAGGCCTACGAAAGAAAATCGAGGAGAAAAGCAAAGGCTTGCTTCCAAAGCCAAAGAAAATATTGGGATCCGCTATGATGATTTTTATGGAAAGACTTTTCAAGGATTCTAATAATGGTGGTGATGAGACGATGCCATAAATAAATTAATAAAATTGGTGAACTTCTCACCATTTTAATTACATTGGAAAGAACAAGAAATTACGAGCGGTTTTTATGAGCAAATTTAGGGAAGCTTAGGAGAAGTATGAATGGGGATGGCTGGAGCTGAAGAGTATGTGGATGCGAACGGGTGACGTGCGTTAAGAGGAATTTGGGAACCATGGCAAGAGAACTTCGGAACGTTTAAGGGAGTACTTGAGAGGCACCTACTCGAACATGAAACGAATTGGATAGAAATTTGAAAGACATTTGGGAGAAACTAAAAACTGTTGTAGGATTTGAAACAAACTTTGGAAGTAGAGCTTGAGATTAACTTAGTTTAAAGAAAATTCGAAAAAGAAGATAAGAAGTGAATGAGAAAGTAATTTAAGGAGAGTTTAAAAGAAATTTTGAGAGACAACTTAAGGGGAGATTGAGGGTGATCTTCAAAAATTTTGTATCTTGAGAAGAGAACGTGAAAGAAACAAGTATAAGCTGTGCACAACTCCTGTGCAGATAAAGTGCATTTTTTTAAACCAAAATAACTTTTTCTTTGACATCACAATGGATATATTTCTTGCAGACGCCTCAATCGCCCTTTGTGAGTACACTATTCCGACAATCGGTTCTTGAGGTATAAGGGAATACACCCGATCACGATAAGAGGTCGAGGAGGAGGGCTGAAATTAATTTTATCTTTCGTTGAGACCTTTCATTAGAGTACCATGAAGGATAAAATTAGTTCCACCACCCCCCCTCAAGTCCCGTCGCTCACTGATCTTGAATGAAAGTAGCACGGGAAAGTTATACTTTGTACAAACCAATTTATTTCGATGAGACCTTTCATTAGAATACCATGAAGGGTAGAACATGTGTTTACCCCCCCCCCTCTTTTTCTAAAGTTTAACTTGACACCTAAAAGGCATGCTTATGTAAAATCTGAGACCAATTGCTTGTCGTATGTAAAAGTTATGCACGTTTTACTTTTAAAAACAGCATCCCAGGAAATAATTCGGGGGAGGGGGGCCCTTTTAGACATCGAAATTTGATGACCGTCTGGCACACCTTCAAGGTATAGGCTACCTACTGCAAACAATTCCAGGACTCTAGGACCATTCCCCTAGAAGTAGTTCAAAACGTTAGAAGTGGGTCCGGACAGACGGACGGACAAAACGCAAACAATAGCACATTTTTTTTATTCTTAAAAATGCGCTAAAAAGAAGGTAAAGTCAACAGAGAAAGGTAGACAGACAAGGATAAGCACCACAGAGGAAAATAGAAAGGAAGGAACGAAAGAATAGAATGTTGTTTCAGGTTTTCTTTATTACATTTTGTATTTTTACGATAGCCATTCCGATGTCTGTGTAGTGTTTGTCGATAGGCGTCAATAAATAGTAACAATAGAATTGACTATGAAGGGATTACCAAACCAGTTCCAAAATAGCAGCGGTGGAAAAACTCTTCGAGTATGGACGGAGGAGTTTGGTAGGAGAAAAGTAATCACACTATCGTATACTATCAACAATGATTGCTGCAAGTACAAATATTAGGTTAGTTGTCACCGTTACACTACCCGAGTAGTCTGCAAAGGCGCATAGATCCGTGAAGCACACTCTGCATGTCTTTAATGTTTGTCCATCTTCAGGTCTGCAATGCGGAAGTTTTGCAGCGGATGGAAAAATTGCCGGTGACGCTCTCCTTTCACAACCGAAAGAGTATTTCTCTTGGAGAATTTTAGTATCTACAAGAACACTTGATCCCGATGGCTTCAAGTTCCGCATTGAGCCTTACCTAATCTTCCCATTCTTTCGCAGCTGTACGAGTGCAACTCCACACTTGAGTTGGTATCTGTGAAAATTGGCAAGAGCAGGGTGGCTACTACTCACAACACGATTATGCTTACGCTCAAAAACTTTATAAAGACAAAACCAAAAGAACGTGGTGTCTTCAAGACCGCAGTCCACAATCCTTAGATGAGGATTGCCGATTTGGCAGTAGGTTTCGTTGTACGCTTTGCATACGTAGCATTTTAGCGCGTCCACTGCAGTAGATACAATGTGACAAAACTAATCCGACCGAATAATCGAATATTCACCTGAACAGAACACAAGGGGCAGTATCAACGCGACATGCACTGAGAAATCCATTTCATTTTGGGCCGTGTCATAAAACTGAACTTCGGAATTCGTCAGGCTAAAAATGCAGCCATGAGGAAATATGGTGGTGGTAAAGCACTTATTTATACTTTGGGCTATAAACGGAAGCCGATCAGTTTAGATTCCCATGAAGGTTAAAATTAAGCACCGCTATCAATTTTTGTGTCACTAGCGTATCGACTGTAGTTATTAATGGAGAATGTACGTAAAAAATTTTAAAATTGTAGTAGTTTTATTGCCAAGGAAGTATAACAGGAAGAGACTATTTATAACAGTCACAACGGTCTCTATCGAGGTCTCTATAAATTCTGACCATTGTGACATAATCTTAAAAAAACTACATATCAATCGTCTGTTGACTCAGAATTTTTAAATTTAGTTCAGTCACTTAACATTCGCCATCGGTACCGTTGACCCTAGCAACACAATTGGGATAAACGACCTCCAAAAGTATGCAAAAGTTTTCAAAACCCAATTGCAATACCAGCACCGGGATTTTCGTTCCTTTCGTATCCTGCGTATAGGAATGACGAAAAGTCTATTCCCTTGCCTTTCCTTTCTGCTCATTCCTTGATTTCGGGAATCAATCCGTCTACCTTGTTCTCTCTCCTGGCATCTCTGTTGTCAGATTTCGATTGTTCTTGTTCCCTCTTTATTGGATCCATTTCTTCGTAGAGGCGTCGCCTCTCTGCTACGAGATCCCAAGGGATGCTGCCGGCCATCACGTGGAGCACCTCACCGCTCGTTGACCTGTACCCGCTGTACAGTCGTGGTCAAAAGTAATGCCCTCCCTTAGATACCTCAACTGTAGAAAAGTACTAATATGTCAGGTTGACCGTGATTTAGTTGAATCTCATTTCAATCTTTGGGACTTTCCTAATTTTGAAAAGAAGCTCAAAACAGGAGATCTGGTATATCAACTATATGTTGAGATATCTTCAGATAATCGAGGGAGATTACTTCTGACCAAAACCGTACATGCTCTCCCTTGGACCGCCAGGAGCTTTTATCTGCGTGAAGCTATTTTCATGGCTTCCGAACATACCGGAGCGCCATACATGACAATGCTCTGTACTGTGCTCATGCTTAGTCTTCGCATACCACTTTTTGGTCCTTTCAGATTGGGCATCTCTCCTGCAAGCACTGCAGCAACTTTTTCAGCTTTTGTCGAAGTTTCCTTTAGGTGTAGAAAAAAGTCACCTCTTTGTCCAGTACAACTCCTAGATATTTAACACTATCGTTTGATCTCGTGGTTTCCCATTCGTATGATTTTGTCACCCAGGCTCCTTCTTCTCGCAGAGAAAACCGTATCTGTTTTATGAGCTGTTAGTTTAAGCCCAAATCTATCCATCCACACGTCGTCGGCAAATGCAACTGTGCGTGCTCCGATTGGGATTTCCAGTTCCAGGACCGGATTATACAAAACGTTCCACATTGTGGGGCCAGGCACCGATACCTGCGGAACTCCGCATGTAATCTTCAGTTCTGCCTCCTGCCCTGTTAGTAGAAATACCATGCGATCGAAAATGAGTTGCTGTCGAGTCACCTTTGGAATTTTTGTTTACATGGGAAATCGTACTTAACTTGAATTTCCAAATGCGACTCAACAACAACTCATTTTTGATCATCCGTTATGTGTGAAAGGTGATTTTTGACCATTTGTGCACAGTTTTTGGGGGATTCCTTCAAACGGATCTACGATTCGATCTCATTTTGTGGAGTTGAATGCGTTTCAGATCGAATGTCGTTAGTAGTTTCTGTCCTCACAATCCCGAATGTACCCACTCCATCTTAAAGACTTCCTTCACAGTGGGGAATGCAATCCCACAGCAAAATTTCGATCCCGGTATTTGCGGCATCATTAGATAGTAATCCCGCTGGATCCCGGTATTCGCGGGATCCCGCAAAATTATAAAAACATTCGGAAATAAGCAATTTTGTGCAGTTAACGGGATATTCACAAGAATACACATTGTATTTCGCGGAACGAATGCATCACATCCGTCGTCTTTTCTTGTCGCCGATGAGTAACCTTCTATTGCCCCTCCATGTCTATCTGGATTTCTAGAATATTCGCTGCAATATTTCCATACAGCCACTTTACTACTAGAGGCTTTTATAAACAATCGACGAGTCCGACATATATTGTCTACAAGAATAACGGTTAATGCGTTTTAAAACAGTAATAAAATAAGTTCGATTTGCGTACTCACCCGCTGTTTAACAAAGTGCCGAATTAACAACTTCTACTGGAACACCATCCGGACCGGCTACCTTTTTATCTCGTAATTAATTTACCGTTACCTCAAGTTCCCTTTTATCAAACGGTTTCATACCTGTTATGGGCACCTCGTTTCAGATGATCTCTTGTTTTGGATACAGTAGACACTGTTCCCTTTTTTTCTTCTTTCGAGGGCGGTATTTCAGGCAAAACTGTCTTGTAGCCTTTCCCCCATGGGACCGTATCTATAGATCCTTTATCACTTTCTGCTATGCTTTATCTTCAGGAATTTTTACCACCCTCACGTTAGTAAAGGAGATACTGCATTGGGGTAAAAAGATCTCTCACTTTTTTGAGGGAGATACACGTTCCGAAACAAACAAAATCTCGATTGTGTCAATCGGTCTGTCTGTCAGTACTCTCATTTCCGGCTAAAGGACGGGATCTATTTTAACAAAATTTGGTATACATATTTTTAGACATAAAAGGGCAGAATCGCTCTGTGCTTGTCACGGCAAATTTTTTAAGATTCCGTAATGTTTTAAAGTCCGACCCGAACTCATCCGTGTTTACTTGCGCTTTTTTCCTGATGCTTTGAAATCATCTTCTTGCTTTAAGAAGTTCTCTCCTAGCGTTTTCTACTTGCTGTGTCCGCCAGTATTTGGGAACTCGTGTTAATATACCCACCCTCTTGCTCCACCTAGAGGCTTTCTTGTCATCTCCCTCTTCTTCTGCTGATGAATTGTGAACCTGATTGGTAAATGGTAATTTCCTACATCCTCCTCAACAAACCTCTCACTCCTGAATGTAACGACGCTCCGCCAATCCAATCCAGTGCACGTGAGCACTGATTCCGCATTTCTTCTTTGGAATGTAGCCCACCCGTGTTGATTTTGGACCATCAGGTTCAATTCTGAGAGCATCTCTACTAAGATTCGCTCCCTAGCGCCTTCCAGGTACCATCCCGTTGATCTAATAATTTGCGATTTGGTTCGCTAACAATCAGAACACCTCCATTTTTCTTGGTTGGCAAATAGTCTATTCGATTATGACCGATTCTGCCGCCCTAATTGCGACCATGAACTTTGGACATGCCATTGTTCATGGTGAGTGCCCACACCACCCACTTGTTTGGGTTTTCGCATTTATCTGTATCTATTAACTATGCGTTCACTGGTATACATTCCCACTCTAATATGAATGGTTTTAGTAGGTGCACAACTCTCATCTTTCTCCAGCTTCCTAAACGCAGAGAGACTCTAAAGAGGTGCAGAAGATGTAAGAGCAACCGTTCCAGACCCTTCTGCAAAAGAGCCGGGTATATCCCGACCGGTCTTGCACGGGTCGAACGCCCATCTTAGTGATCCTTCGGGTACCACCTAGGTGGCTACTTTCCAGTCAATCTGTCTTGCTCCGGCTCGGGTAGCACTTTTTGGGGATTCCGAAGTTACGTAGTCCCCAGAGCCAGGATACATGTGAGAGCGTCAGGCGTATGTCTGTCGCATGGAAGCCTCAGTATCCTCACTTTTTACCCCTTCCTTTTAAAAGGATCTACTACTTTTTTGAACTTTTGCAAGGCCCTTTATGTTACCACAAAACGTCCTCCGTGTTCCTCGTTTAGATCTCCGAATAAGGTCCTTATGTCTGCGTTGAAAGATTTTGAAATCATCCTAGTCCGCCGGAAATTTAGAGCGCATGGCCTATTAAAGAGCCATGTGAGCTATTGAAAAAGATACCAGCGACAGATCAGTAACCTCCATCAATTCAGCCAGTTCCCTCGTACTTGGAACCTTTTCTGAGTCGTACGAGAGATAAGCCGAGCAAATCATCAGGCACCTGATCCGTCCTCTGCCATTCTTCAGCTGAAGTTGTAGTCGATCAGCCCTTAAATGAGATTCGTTTTTCCACATAAACACCCCTTCACCATGCTGCAAGTTACTCTTCACAAAAGTTACCTTATCGATTAATGCCGACTCACTAGGTTCCGTGCCCTTCAGACCCTGTTTCGGAGCTGTACTCCATGTCGAGGAACCTACCTCGTTGCCAGACCACTTTTGAGAACCCGATTTGTAGATTCACTTTAACAAGGAACCCAGAAAAGGTTCTCTCTCCTGTAATTCACAGGAGTACTGTAGAAACACGGTCTTACCTGAGCAAAACCTCTTGCCCAGGGTTTTGCTGTCAGCTGCTTTGCAAAGGAAAGGAACCGCCAGTATACGAGGAGCCCCGTTATCGACACTGCACCCCCAGTGTCACACAGTCGTCGGCACGTAGCTTAACAGCTTGACTTGCGAGGTGACACCGTATAAATTATGCTCTTATATAAGTGTACCTAACTGTAATTTACTACTTATAGTTTTTGCTATTTCTTGCACAGTAATTACTAGCGCTCCGGTTATTGCAAGGTAAGCTTTTCGCTACTTTCCGTTTCATTAATTATAAATTGGGAGGAATATTGTCTCGCTTTCCTGCATTTGCTTTCCCGTGGAAACAGCTACCGAATTCGATTATTTACTTTTCCCGCTTAGGGAAATTGCTGCGCGTTTTAAGTTTGTTTTATCATTCATCAGTAGCCGCCCACCGCCTGCCCTCCGACCGAATCATGTTGAGAAGCAAGACCGAAAACTTCTAATGGGACCCGAAGCACTTTCGTTTTGCCGTTCCTTGCCGCTGTTCCACCGTCTTCCCCGGTTATCGCCGGCACCGTCTACAGTTCGTCGCAGTATATAAAAATCAATAAAATTATTTGAACACTGATTCAAAATTAACAGGAGCAGTATTAACTTTTTCTTTGTAACGAAGGGCCGGGTACTAAACACAGTCGATGTCCTTGTAGGATCAGCGAATGGATCCATGCAAAGGATTTTTGTGGAGCAACGCAGAACCAAGTTGGGTAAATTGCTCAACAAATCTAAACACAGCTCATTGTAGTAAAGGAGTCTAATGGGAAATTTTTGGATTTACTAGAGAGCGTCAGATTAAAGCATGGTGGGTTGACTACGTGTTCAAAAGTGTGCATTTCAGTAATATTATTCAAGAATAGTAGACGTAATATAATCTGCCGATTTCCACGCGTCAAGTGGAACAAATCGTCAATAAAGTTCAGTGCGTTCAGCAGTTGAAGCATGTTAGTTGACTGAGACCATAGGCGGTCGTGTTATAAATTATAGCTACAAACGCTTTAAATATCCGACTCGTTCGAATAAATCCCGTTTTTCACCCTTCCGTACAGCCTCCCCCTCCACCGAAACTGGGCCATTAACATACCTCCAATATCAAAGACACGTTGGGGGATATACACTATCAATATCTAACGCGCCCGAAAAAAGTATACTACCCCCCCTCGGTGAAGGGATGTACTGTACATCATCATCAGGAGGTATCAAGGAACTGAAGGTGGTATCGATAAATTTACTCTGTAGGTGTTATTTTCTATTTAAAAACGTTGTTGCAACATTCATCGGTATAGATTACGGCTGTGTTACTTTCTTTTTTTAAGACCGATATGGCAGTGTTCACGTGACTTGGAAAACGGATTCATGTACATCATTGGCATGGTTGTCTTATCCACAACCCTTAATTCAAATTGGGACAGCAGGTGGAAGAAGACAATCTTCGTTACCAGAAGTGCTAGTCGAGGGGCTAGAAAGAGGGGCTAGAAAGAACAAGCGGGAGTTAGCAGGAGTACAAACCAATACAACTCTCACGACCAACTCCAAACGGCATGTATGAAAATGGAACAATGTTGCACTTGTTTTCGTCACTAAACCTTTCGGGATCAAATTTTCCAGGACATGAAAAGTACTTGGGGTCCCGATGAATTGCGTACACTGGAATAATTACGCTCGATCCTTTTTCGAGCACTACTGCAATGTCGCCCTCTTCCGTTCGAACTGTGTAGTCACTCCCGCATATCTTTTTCAGCGTGTCTTTGGGCGGCCACTTACGCAGTGATTCTATACAAGTAGGTGATTAAGCCCCGCTACTCAAACCGAAAGGGACTTACCAGAAACGACCATATCTAAATACTTCATGTCCACAAGCTTGTCGTAGGTAATTGCACCATTGCACCCTTGTAACGTGTCATCAATTTCCCGTAGAAGCTTCTGTTGCTCATTTGTGTTAATCGCCAGCTCACAGCTAATTGCGCACATTAGTGAGGATGTGGTTTGGATACCCTCAAGGAGAAGTGCCTTGGCGCAGTTGACGATTTCTTCGTCGGATAACACGACCATGCAGTTGCACCCCTTATGGGGCTCCAACTCTTTACCATCTCTGAGCTGGAGCAGCATCTCAAGCATGTTAGCTGCCACGGACTCGCGCTCGCTAATTTGTTTCTTAATAACATCGCCCAAGAAATCCAATCGAGGCTCTAATCTCAGCAGCTAAAACCCCCAAAGTCGAATTTAGGTTTCTTTGTAACACCCGCTTACCTCTTTCAGATTGGTAAAAATGGAGCAATCCGTTAGCAGATTTCTGGTCGCGGCGAATAACTCATTGGTCTCATCCACGAGGACGTTTACAACTCCTAAAGTAACGGACGCGAGTAAGTCAGTTGCGAGACGAGGAAAAACATCCTGACAATCAATTTCTTCTGCTGGCAACTGTCGTACGAAATTTGATGCGTGATCCGAAACTGATCTAAACATAGACCGCATGCTGCTAACCCCGAAGATGCCTCCCAAGTCCTGCCATTTGTGGGCGTTTGATTCAAAATACGAAACATCTTTCGCACCGATTAGCTGCACCAGGCTCAGACTTTTGAGCATCAACTGTGGACGTGTGAAAAGGTGGATTCCGATGCATCTGTTAAGGTGGCGTTGTACTCTCGACGAAGCCAGTTTAACGTACCTACCTTTCATCGCCGAATGAATTGTAGAGTTCCTGTAGCCGTTCGGCAGTTGACTGTTTCCCCATAATCACCGGAAAAAGGTTTCCAAACAACGGCCATGGTTCAACGTACTGCACATTTTGTTTCTCCCAGTGCCTTAGTGGCTTTAACCAGAGTTGGTATAAGAGGAATATTAGGGAACCCACGAAGAGCGTGAACCACATTTCCAACAAATTGTGGGTTATAAAAATAACTACGATTTCGAGATAAAAAAAAATCTCTGTCACAGTGTCTACGAATACAGTTATCGTTTTAGAAGGTAAATAATTCATAAACGGTGCTTAACGTTTACTTAAAAATTACGTCACGTGAGACACGTCTGTGGAGAATTCTGAAATACAACCGGACGCAATCCTTTGCTGTTTATAATATAACATTTTGGTTTTCTGATGCAATTTTTGATTGGCATCCACTGCTATTCAGTTAACGAGCTCCGATTGGTGTATAATTTTTGAGAAATTCAATGGCGATTTAATCGCATAATTATTAAGTATAGTCAATCTTTGGTGAATAACCTAAGTGGTTGCATGCACCCTGATTTTTGGGTAAAATGTTTGTTTTTGGAAATATCCATACAAATACTTTAGCGACGGTAAATTAAATTCCTTGGTAACAGTAAGATCACTAAATTCGAAGAAGTTCAGGCGAGTTACGTTACGTACAAACAAATTAAGAAAAACAGTTACGGAATTAATCGCACAGAATAACATCGCCAGTAAAATCACGACCCCTGTGAACATCGCAAGTACGAACCTATATATTGATATCTTTGACCTGGTGAAAGGCTGAGGCTGCTAACTGTGTAGCTTTGGAACGGAACGTATGCCAAAATTTGTCAATTCCCGTAGATAAAAAACTTTATATACCAACAAAGACGAACCTTGACCTAGGGGGATTTTTAACAAAGATGAAATGGACTTCACATTAAACTAATACAGATTAGAAGGTATTGCGGCTTCTTTTGTAATCTAAAAAACCGTTACACAATACCGTAGAAATGTTAGTTCTCAATAGCTCAGGAAAAAAACGAAAAAAATAAATACAAGGAAAATTCAGAAATCTAAACAAAACCGAAGAAATCCGAAGGAAAATCGAAGAAAAAACAGAGGAAATCTAACAGCACCTGGTTGATTTGAAGTGGCTCAAGCTCATGTTGATCAAAGAGGAGCATTTTTCAAATTCCTAAAGCGACTGCGAGAAGATCTGAAACATTTGAGTACTTTGATAAGATTGAAGAAGAAAAAAGTAAATTGAATACCAGAGGAATTTGAAGGGTCTGGTGAGGTTAATGTGTCCGGAAAGATCTGACATCTGAGTAACCTCAAGAGTTTAAAGAGCAGAAGAATCCCTGAAGAGTCATTGGATATTAAGTGTCGTGAGAGTCTGGAGGGTCTAAGACGAGTCTAAGGAATGCGAAAATTCCAAAGAGTCCGATCGAAAAATACGAATCTCTTGAAAATTTCCGAAGAGTACCTGATGAACTTGAAAGAATTTAAAGACGGCGATCAATTGGAATAGTTTTAACGGTGTCTGAAGGGCGTTTGAAGTGCGAAGTGCCAGAAGAGGGTTAGACGCGAAGGTGAAGAAGGAAAAGGGAGTAATAAAATGATATTCTCGAATGTAGCAGGGGCAGCTGGTATAGACTCTCATTTCTGGGAGTTTGTAAGAGAATTTGATGTGGTGGGGATGGCAGAATCAGGAATAAAAGAAAAAAATTGGGAGAAAATAAAGAACAGGATTCCGAATGCATACATATGGAAGAACCCACTGGCGAAGAGAGACAGTATAAAGGGAAGAGCAAAGGGGTACGATAGCGGTAAGGGAATGGGGGGATGAAAAGAAAGAGGAGGAAGAAAGGTGATACGAATGGAAGTGGAGGAAAAGAAAATGAGAATGAAAATGAATACCTACTTATATAAAATATGGTGATGAGGGGCTAATATTTGGTGGGAGATTCTAATGTCAGATCAGGAATTAAAATAAATGGGGTAAAGATGGGAAGAGTTACATAATATAGAAAATCAACAGATAAAGTGTGGAAAAAGAGGGAGAATGGAATTGTTAAAAATGAAGGTTGGAGAACGGAAATATGGAGGGAGATGGGTTATTCACATACATGGCAGGAGGAGAAAAGTCGGTAGTTGACTACACAATACTGTATGACAAAATACTGGAAAATGGATCGATGGAGCTGAGTCCAAAACGGAAGGTAAGAAGATCAAAAAATAAAAAGATGTAAATACGAAGGGAGTTATGGACAAGAGACACGGTGGAGCTGTATAGATGGATACTAGAAGGAACAAGGATAAGAAATAGGAGGGAGTACAAAGGAGGAGTTTAATGATATAATTGAGAATCTCAAAAAAGCAAACACGTGGAAACAAACAAGTGGGAGGAGGGGAATGGTAAAGAAATAAGGAACATTCAAATAAGTGTGAGAAAAAAACGAACAAGAGGAAATGTACAGAAAATAAGATGGAGGAATACGAAGAGCAAATTAGGGAAATAAAAACAAAGAAGGATGTTTGAAAGGTGGTAAACAAAAGGACAAGTGGGAAGGAAACACCATTAGAGGAATGGAAACAAAATTTTGTCAAGTGACGACCAAGAAAGCAGGGGGAAAAGGAGGCTATGGAAGAGAGAAAGTTGAAGGAGATGAGATAACGATTAGAAAGAGAAATGGAAGAGAAGAAGATGTTGGATGAAACACGAATGGGCTCCAGAAGGGGGCAGGGGAGGCGATGCAGTATACAGATTTGTTGAAAAGGAATTGGAAACAAGGGCGAAAAGGTGTACACGTTTGACAGAGTGGAGAGGGAAAAATGATGGAAAGTGAAAAGAAGTTAAAGGACAGAATCCAGTAACTATATGGAGAAAATAATAATAGAAGGGGAGGGGTCTGAAGTGTTTTGGACTAAGACAGGGATGCCCACTTAGCCCAACCTTATTTTTAATCTCTGCATAAGAGACATGGAAAAAGTATTAAGACACGGCGAACGGAGAAGTATTGGGAGAGGAATGGAACGGTACTAAATGTGGAAAAGTCGAAGATGATACGATTTGGGCAGGGAAACGGAAATGGAGAGAGGAGAGAACAGAAGGGGTTGGGGGCGAATTTAAGGTATCAAATGCATTGAAATAATGGAGTAAATGTTCAAATAAGAGATGGATGCAAATAGAATGTGAGAAGAACAAAGAGAAAAATACTATGAAAGAAATAGATACGGACGGGCTGATGCCGAAAGGAGGAGAGGAGTTGGAGGAAAGATTGAAAATGAAAAGAGAAAGAGAAAAAAGAAACGTAGAATATGTGGAGAAGAAGAAAAGAACATAGAACATATTATGTTATGGAATTGGAAGGACGTGGAAAGGACAGGGAGAAGCAGGAGTGTTGTACTGGAAGAAGAGGGACGAGGTGAGAAGAGACGTATATTGTATTACCATTTCGGTGATAAAGATTGATTGATTGATTGATAATCGAGGAGATTGAAAGGTCTCAAGTTTCTGAAGAACCTAACAAATTTTAATGAGCATAAATTTTCCGAAGAATAAAAAAGTTTTAAGGGTTAAAAAAACAATACAGTAACGAAGCAATCTGAAAGAAACTCAATGAATAAATATTGCACCTCAAAGAATCCGGAAAAGCTCCAGAGTTAGCTTGAGATCTGAAACCTTTGGATGAATCGAGAAGCTGCAGAATATGAAAAGAATTACTAATATCTCATGAGTTTGAATAGCCTCAAAATTCTGAAAAATTTGAAGTGTAAAGAACCTTAAAGGTGCTTGAAAAGTCCGAAGAATCTGTATCTCTAAGAGTTCTAAAATTGGTACCTAATAGTGTCTAAAGGATCAATGGAGGGTGCGAAGGATCAGAAGATCCGAAAGGTGAAGAAAGGGGGAATGAAGGCGGGTAGAAGGCGGGAGGATAGTGGAAAAATGTGCAAGGAGGGGATGGGGATGATGAGTATTGAAAAATATCAAAAATAGTGAGAGTAGCACCATCTAGTCTAGTAGGTTTTTACAGTGTCATGTTCATGAACGTATGGTAAAAGGTGAAAATGTTCTAAAAACTGCATTTTCCCCGCACAGAATTAGTAATAGCTTGGAAGTGAAGTGAATAATCCAAAAAATCTTTTCTCGTTCTTACCTCGGGACTGTGCCACACAGTATGAGAACCACAACGAAGAAGCTTAAACTAGATGACTAGTAGTGGTACAGACAGTCAGACAGAGGGACAGACGGACAAAGTGCAGACAATAGCGTTCATTTTCTTATCTGGAAAATCTGCATAATTTAGAAAACCTGCAACGCAGCCGAGAAAGAAGCATTTGCATTGCCCGAAGGAATTGAACCAACTGACGATTATGAAACAGGAAATACCTAATAAGTCTGAATAGTATCTAAAGATTTTGAAAAAACTAAAAAATTCCAAGAAAGGCCTGAAGAATCAGAAAGAATCCGCCATGTTAAAATACCCCTGGAGGGTTCTAGCGGTCTAAACACCTATTGTTTCGTAAAAATGAGTGTATAAACTAAGATAAAACCAACAAAAGGTGAAAATGTTTATTGCAAAAGTAATCCAAAACGAAATAATAAATAATGAAGAATACCTACCGAGCCTGAGTAGCATATTAGGCGACAATAGTTGAATTAAATCTTATTTCTTCGTCTCAGTCCAAGCCAAACCCCTTTCTCAGCTGTTATGTGAACTTTCATCTTAGAAAGTCTGAGTGGAACTTGCGTTCTTTCAGTAACAACGAAGTCGAATTCAGACAGTAGATGAAACATTATCGTTTTAACCTCCAAAAGTGCGAAACGGGATGCTAAAAGTCCAGAGAAGAATTTCGAAAATGTTTACGCGCAAAACCTACCAATACAGTTCCTCGGTCCCGAGCCGAAAGGTAAATACGAGTACGGATGTATTTTCACTTTGTTTTCGTCGCTGAATCGTTCTGGATCGAACCTGTCAGGATTGGGAAAGTATTGAGGATCGTAATGGATTCCCATAACCGGAATTATGACCTTGGAACCCCTCTCGATGGTAAAGGTTTTTTCGTGTACCTTTTCCGGTTGCACTACGTAGTCCTTCACGCATCGGCGATCCAGTTGGTAACCCGGGGGCCACTTTCGCAACGTTTCCGAAACAACCATGTCCAGGTATTTCATCCTTTGGAGCGCGTGGTAGCTCAATTTTCCCTCACACTCGCTCAGAGTTTCGTCCACTTCGGCTTGAAGCTTTTCCTGTACGTCGGGATTAGTCGCCAATTCGTACGACATAAAAGTCATCGCCGAGGATGTGGTCTCGAAACCTCCGACGAAAAAGATGAACGCTTGCGCTGTTATGTCTTCGTCTGTCAATTCAAGTTTTGGTTTTCCGTGGTGGGATTTGGACTCTTCAACGGCAGAAAACTCGCTAGGCGCGGCCAAGTCAGATTCCTCCACAGCGGTGACGCCTTTGCGAGCTTCCAGTAAGAGATTAATCATGTCGTGCCGTACAAATCCCTCGACTTCTCGTTTGTAGATGGTCTCCTTAACAACTCGGCGGAAGAACTTCGAAACGGTTCCCGGTATCATATCCACTTTTGAAAGTTTTTGAAGAAATGGGAACAGTGCAAATATTCCCATCAGGAGAAATCTCAGTCCGCCCGAGTTGTCCTCGGTCATTACTCCCATTGAATAAAACTCGTTATTTCGGTCTTTGAGCGAATCGCACTTGAACCCAAAGACGACGGATGCGATGGCGTCGTTTGTGAATCGGGTCGAAATATCCTTCATTTCGACCTGAATTAAATCTTCTTGCGCCCTTTCGAAGTACGCCACAAACTCGCGGGCACAATCGTTTAGTAACTCAAAAAGTGTCTTGATTTTGCTAGTGGTAAAGGACGGGCTCAGCGTGGCCCTCATGTCTCGCCATTCCTGTCCTCCTAAGCTGAAGAGGTTTTTTCTCATCAGGGGATCCACATTTTCCGCAATAAAACTGTTGTGGTCGCTGAACTGATCAAAGTCCTTAACGGTTATCCTCTTTATTAGATCTAAGTCGCGCACATAGAGCAGCGGATTGCCGAATTGGATAATCCCATAGTATCTATTTTTAGCAGTTTTTGGAAATTTGTCATAACGCCCTGATACTCTTACCTTTCATTTGGAAACTCGTTGTATAACTGCTTCACGTACTCAGGAAGCGGCGTGTGCTTTATGAGAAAGACGCCAGAGTTTCCGATTAGGGGTAGTGGTTTTTTGTGTGCAACTCCAAGATTTTTCCAATAAGAAAGAGGCTTCGCTGTTTTGTAATAGGCATATACCAAGAGCAGTGCGAGAGTAATTAACCAAAGCATTCTGGTTTGCTAGTGTAAAATACCGAACTAAATCACAAGTATGACTACATATAATCTTATCGGTTATAACACTTGAACGATTTATACAGTACAAATTTGTATGTGCATATTTCTGAAGAGATAACGCTTATCTGAAGCAACATTTTACTCCTATGTCGTAGAGAGAGCGATAGAATAAGTCCTAAGTCTACTTTGCATGCGATATATTAATAAAATCAAACCAATTTCAGATACTTGTCATTCAATTTGGCACTAATCAATCATATGTACACGTACAGACCAGTGTAGTATTCCTGTTTCTTGAACTTATCTAAAAATTTCATTCATTTTTTAGATATTTCCGAAAGTTACAATATTTACAAAAACTGAGCTCGACCTTACCTATCAGTACAGACGCGAATATATTTATAGATAGCGTAGCACGAAATTCTTCGACAAGCTTTCGAGCGAATCATGTGAGTCGTGTGCGCTAATTTTGAGATCGCGTGAAATTTTATTTCTAATTTAAAGTCTGAACCGAAAACCGTATAACAGTATATAAAAGAATCGTTAGCCAGGCAGATTTATGCCACCATTTTTTGACTAATGTATTGTCGTGCGCACTTATATATTTAGTGGTAGCTGCTCTTTCGAAAAAAAAATCAATATTAAGAAGAACTTCGTCGGGTAGCGAAAAATAATGAATAAAATTTTCAACCGTAAATTACTTTTTTAATACCTACATGAATGTTTGGGGGTCAATGCACGATCGCATTGTTGTGCTAGCACTTAAATAAATTATTACCAGGAAAGCGTGGGGGTCCAAGGTGCAAACATTTCGTTGCGCTATTTTTTTGGAGTACCTAGTTACGTTGAGAAACCAGTTTATTAATCAAAATTGTTCACCTAATGTGTCTATACGAGATGATAATGACATTATAACTAAAACGAAAACCGGTAAAAGGGTTAAATTCAATTAATTTGTGTAAATTAACCAAATTAAAACTAATAAATTGTCAGAAACCTGAAGCACGGGTTTATTCTGGATTCAAATTACAGAATGACGATTAAAAGTTATATTAAGTTCAAATATTCATATTCTTGAAGAGGTGGCCCAATTATAAATTGCAAGTAAACAATTATTGAAATTCCTACGAAGTAGTGATGTGAAATTACACGTTTTTTTAAGTGCGTAATACTACGTGTAAAATTACCAATTGTTTATGTTTCTTATGGTATTTTATGTAATTTATGTAACTTACCATTTGTTAAAAAAACCGTAATTTTACAGTAAAATTACCAATAATTTATGTTTTTTACGTAATTTAAAAATATTTTTGTATAATTACCTGTCATTTATGTTTTTTATATTTTTTTTAATATCATAAACCTTTTTGAATGATGTGAGTGTTTAAAAACACTAAATTAAATTTATGTATTTTGGTGTATTGAATAAAATACCTAAGCAGTAGGTAATTCGCCATCACGCGTCGTTTGGAAGAAGAAGTTCCAGATCGCGAATTAGATGCTGTAGCATCTTCATTAAACCAAACTAGATTCAACTGTGCAAATGCAGAACAGGTACTGAATCCGGATCCACAAGATACAAGTACAATCGCCAGAATAATTACAATTGAAAATTGTAACTAGAACAACATATGGTTTTCGCCATTCAGTCTGCTTTACGTGGAGAACTAAGACGTACTCGTACTAGAATGTCCGGAAAAGGAAATTAAAAAGTAAGAAGAATGCGCTTCGAAAAAATCCACCGACAGGTGGCGTCGTAATTTAGGTATGTCAGCGAATCTCAAACAATTTATTACAGTGGTTGGAAGTCGAGGCTTGGCATGGTGAAGCAAAAATTTCACCAAGAATTAAGGGAACATTTGTTGGAGGTACATGACCTTCAAAAATGAGGTATTACCTTGATGATTATCAATGCTGTAGAAGGACCAAGACAAAAAATGTGCAGTTTGGGGTTAAGCTACACAGCCAACAAATGGAAGAATGGCAATATCTCAAGCTTTCGTTTTGAGTGAGGTGCAGGTGATTATGCCTTTATATTGTTTTATTAAGTATTTATTTAGTTATTCACGTCACAAAGTTTATTATCAGCGGGTTGTAGTTGTACCGCATGCAGTTCGATTCTCAGCTTCATCTTGCGGACTGCAAGCTCCTGTGTCTTAAAGGGGGTCCTGTAATTAACATTTCGTCTATATTTATACGTTTTACTTGGAGGATAATGGAAAGTGAACATGAATCCTTACCATTGACATATAATAATAATAATAATATAATAATCATTATGTACTTCTCGTGGTAAATTAATGGAATCAGTAAATGAATAAATGATACTGGCGTTCAGCTATGCTTTTGATGTCTTTTTTCGTACGTCTGTCTGTCTGTCCGTCTATCCGTCTGTCTCTTCGTGTGCACGATAACTTTGTGTAAAAACGTCCGATCGCTTTACAAATTGATACACATGTTCTTCGGCATATATGAAAGGTCGCTATTGTTTTTTGGCTACGTAAACTAACGGGCCAAAAAGTTACCGCCCAAGAACTGCTCAAACCTAGGCCCAAACCTCCAAAAGGGGTTTCTCTTATAACTCGTGTTACAAAGAACATTTGAATGTCCGGTTTTCTGTGTTAGTAAATATTTCTTAAACTTCAGGGAACTATGCAGATGCAAAAAAATATTGCGCATTCCCAATTTTTTATTTATTACGATTGGAAATTTTGTATGTAGGCACCTCGAATAAAAGGAAAACTAGGGCCGAATCAAAAAATTTGTTTTGCGCATGCAAGCCAATGCCGATTCAAAAGTTCGTTTTACAAGCCATGCTGATCTGGTAGGACAGAATCAACCCCTTAAGGTGTATTGCAAAAATGACGGATGTGTGAAGATCTCGAGGATCGTTCGGTATTCAGTTGTATCGGATCTTTACACAAAAGAAGATGCAACTTGATGCATCCAAATTTCATAAAGATGTCTACAACATTATCTCTGTTGTTATTAAAAAACTGATTTTTTTAAACTTTACCACCCTGTATCTCAAAAATTTAGGACATACGTTCATAGGAAGTTTTTGTCTTAAAATGGGTCCCAGAATCACCCCCTTAAATATTAGCATGTCTTTAGGGAACACCCTGTATAAATTTCCTTGAGATTTTGAGAGAACTACAAGACCTATAGATGTCCCTTAATTTGAAGCTAATTAAATTCCAGCTCTATTTGTAGGAACAACGGTTTATCAGCAATTTCAGTCTAAAGAAGGTCTAAAACTAAAATTTTCACTTGATGAAAAAATGGCATATTCAAAGTGCCGTAATTCGGTAACTAATTGACCTAGAGAGCTCCGGTTGGATATACATTGACATACATTTAATGCTCTTCAATTTGTCTAATAGCTTTCGTCGAAAAATACATGGTTTAGGTGATATATAGCAAAAAAGTCCGAAATTTTTCCGGTTTTGCGTGTGCTGCACTTTTTCCACGTTTAGAGAGCTACAACTTGCAAACTACGCTAATGGGTCCAAACAGCCTACTACAAAATTTGATGTGGCTAGCACAGATACCACCCGCACACCTGCGATTCTGCCCTCTTATGTCCAAGCATATTATGTAGGTATACCAAATTTGGTTCCAATCTGTTTAACTGTTTAGCCGAAGTACAGACAGATAGACCGACAGACCAGTTCACATCATCCAGATTTTGTTTGATTCGGATTCCTGGTGCTTCAAAACGTGTACCTATTTCCGTTAAAAAAACTGAGGGGTCATTTTTTACCCCAATGCAATACGGCTCCTTTTGCTAACGTGCGAGTAGTAAAAATCAGAGATAAATCATGTTTTGGTGATTTATTGTTGAATTTGGCTGGCCTACTTGGGAATATTAGGGATTCAATGAGAGAAAAAAAAATATGTGCAAATCAAGTTTTTAATTCTTTCGTTTAAACGCCACCTTCGATCCAGAACCTGATAAAAAGATGACAATCTTGCTCACATCCGAAGGCGGAACCGTACCTTCACATTCGACGATTTGGTACTCTTGCAAAATTCTCACCAATACCAACTTGCAAACGTACACCGAGAATTTAGACGCTAAAAGTTTTCCGTTAAGGGTGGAAAATAGCACAATAACTCACCTATGCATGTCCTCGGGCCTGCTCCGAAAGGAAAGTAAACCGATCGGTTAATTTGATGTTTATTTTTTTCGCTGAAACGTTCGGGATCGAATTTCTCAGGCTCGGGATAGTACTTTGGATCGCGATGGATCGCATAGATAGGTATCCAGCAAAGAATGCCGGGCTCCAGGATCAACTCGGCCTCGTTCGCATGCTCCGGTTGTATCACGAACTGCTCCATACATTTCCGATCGATGAACACTGCAATGGGCCATTTTCGCAAAACCTCTGAAATCTAATTTAACAAAGGTCCACAATGTAAAGCAGTGTCACCTGAGACAACCATATCCAAATACTTCATATTCATTAAACTTTCATACGTCAAATGAGTCACTCCCTCAACCTCCTCCCTGAGCCTCCTCTGAATGTCCGGATTCACCGCCAGCTCGTAGCTTGAGTAAGCTAACAACGCCGAAATTGCGTCGTACCCTCCGATGAAAAATCCAAAAAGTTGCATGGCTTTCTCGTCTTCATTTAGGTTGATCTTCTTCGCGCTAGGTTCATCATCGGTCTCGCCTTTGTTGTCTAACATGAAGTCGACCATGTCACCCCTAAATGTTTTATTCCGTTCTCTCTCCCTCAACGAACCCTTTATCGCCTGCATGAAGTGGACGAACAGCTCGCCTCTGACCAGATTAATATCAAGAAGCTGCAACACGAATTCAGCTAAGAATGGTCCAAAAATGCTTAAACGTTACCTTGGTAAGGGTCATGCTTATTGTCGTAGCAAAAATTCGTACAAATTTCCAACTGGAATAGTCGTTAATTTCGTTCCCCATGGAGAACAGTTTGTGAGGTGGCTCTTTTAGACAATTGCACTCGATTCCGAACATCGTGTTGAGAATAACGTTGCAGTTCAGTCGCGTGAATAGTTCTCTGCTGTCGACGCCGGCGCCCTCACGTTCCGAAAGGTACTCAACGAGGGTGTCCACGGATTCGTTTATGATACCGAACATGTCCTTCATCTTGTTCGGGGTGAAACCGCCATTCAGTCGCTTGCGCATGTCGTGCCATCCGCTTTTTGCTATTAAGACTTAGTGGGATTAAGTGACGGAAGATGCAACTTACCTCCGAGGGAGAAGAGACCCTTGTTTTTAGGGACGTCGTTTTCATCGTTGTTGAAGAGGCTGTGCTCGGGAAAGTTGTTGAAGCACTTGATCGTGATTTGGCGGATCAGTTCGGGATCGCGCACGAAGAGGGTTGGTTTGCGGAACTGGTAGATTCCAATGTATCTGGAGGAATACGTTTTAATCTGTTTCGAGTGGAAGCGCGCTCACCTTGAATTTGGGAAGGAGTTGTAGATGTCCTGTGTGATATGGGAGACCTCTTTTTTACGAAGAATAATCGAACCCATGTTTCCTATGAGGGGGAGTGGTGTCAGTTGGGGCACACATTTTCGTGTCCAATATGTGTTAACCTTAAAAATTGAGAGGTACACAAGTAAACTAATAAAGGCAACTAGTATCAAGAACCACATTTTCTCTACTGATAGAAAATTCCGTCACCATCAAGGTCTGCAGGTTTTCGTGGTCAGATATCTGCATTATTAAATTGTTTCTATAGGTAGGTCGAATTGTAATGGGTGCATTTACATATTTTGCGCTATTCCAGTTTTGTGTTTTAATGTTAATGTAAAACTTGCTACTGATTATTTTGTTTAACAGACGCAATCATTGGTGCCATTATGGGTCTCAAGCACATCAAAAATTGTTGACATACGCATAATTATTAGGGAGATCATCATGTAAACTTCAAGAGGTAACATATAGGTTAAAAGTGTTGAGAATTATGGGTCAGGTAAACAGGTACCCAGATTCTAGGAAAGGGTGAAATACACAGGATGTGACTCATCTTTGGTGCAATAAAGTCCTTTTGTTAAAAGCAAGATGGAAAATTACATGGCCTTTGTAGGTAAATTTAACTAAATAAGACGAAATATGTGGAAATTACGAATCGTAACTCATTTATCGCACATAGATTCTAAACTGAAGAGCTTTGAATAGCGTAATCTCGCCCCCGCAAGATAGGTAGCGTCGCCCCTCGTTCGGGGTTTCGAGCCTACAGTTGAATGTCGAAGACAATCACGGGATTAGGTGTCGTAGCTCAATTTTGACAACAGTTTTACCACCCCCGTGACGGCTTCATTCACGGAGAAAAATGGTTAGTTACAAACAACAAGTCAGTACATACATCACATGAATCGGTAATTTCAACATATTAAAAAAAATGATCAAACCTTATATGAATGTTACTTCAGGGACAAGACAGTAATCAACATCAATAAACATATATTAAGCAAACATTACACCAAAAACGTAAACATTTACAAACAATAGCATAACGGTATTACACATGTGATTCTGCATTGCGGTTAAATCAAGTAAATTTCAAAAACAAAGTTTGAAACACACAAAAAATATAAATTGTGGCGTACAAAACACAAATATACGATATAAAGAAATGCAAAAATTACTACCTGCATTAAATAACACAAAATAACAACAAACATTTATGGAGCGACGCGTTCACGACCGCCATTCAAGACAAGATGCCAAACGTAACCCCCGTCCGTGCTTTTTAGATGGCGCAGGCAGCTTTTTCCCAGCCAGAAATTGCATGGTTGCCAACTCTCAAAAATGTATGTATCGTCGTAAGTTGTATATACAGGGTGGAACCTTTCATATCTCAATGAAAGGAAACCTAATGCTGAGTCAAAAAAATTGTTTTTCAAGCTATATATGCTGATCTGGTAGGACGAAAGAAAAAAATGTTCTATCAAATGACACAAAAAGTAAAAATGACTTCCATAAGAAAAACCAAAGTTGATTATTAACCGAAGACGAAACGTCAAGCTTAAAAATTTAAAACTTGTAGAGGGAAAAAGGTGGCTATAATAATGTGTGTCATTTATTTTGAAATATCTTTTTAAATAACATCGCCAAAAAATAAAATTGATTTTACACACACAATGGACTCGAATAAACACACAATTAATTGTATGACAAAGACAACAATTTTATTCGAAACACATTAAAGAAATAAAACAAAATCCGTGCCAGAAAGAAGAGCCTAGAAAGCTTGTTTGGACATAGTACCCCGCACGCAAGCCGCCGATGAATAATTTCTCATAAAAAATGACAAACTATACGCCTTCAACAAAACAAAAATCAGTCTAACTGCCCTAATTTAGCGTAAACAAATTAACACGCTTTTCAACCGTCACGTAAGCTAACATCAGTTACAATAGCCTCGTTGTTTTTTCGTTGTCTGCAATATTTATAAGCAAACACCACTTCCACACCATAAAATAAATTTCCAACCACAACGGAAGGCGCCAAACGTCCCACTTCTCCGAATGCAATTTTTCGTAAAATCTCTGTATCTCCTTATCCGCATCAGAACACGTGCGTGAATGAAATTTCGCCTGATAATAAAACTCTTATCGCAAACGACCATATGTCTCCTACTTCTAACGCATTGTCTAAATTGAACAATTCCAATAAAGCAATAAACTTATTTCCCCCAGAGATCTCCTTGATAAATATTGAAAAATTCTCATATACAGGATATCCCGTCGTTATTTTTGATGTTTAGACCGAAATAGCGTCTAAATGCCGCTGTTCACACAACAACGTCTTGCGCTTCGTTTTATAAATGCCGGTCCTGTGGTAAGGATGGCGCATGGGAGAAGCGCCCGCGCCATGTTTGTGGTGTAATGTGTTGTTGCCTTGTATGAGCCGACTAAAGGTTATTCCGTGGAGGAAGTACCGCATAGTTCAGATTTTTCGCTGTATCATGTGTTTTCCTCTCTCGTGCCCCTGCCGGACAGTGCCTAAGCAACGCAAGAACGGGGGGGGGGGGGCTCTCAATTAACTTTTCTACTGTTTAGCATGTGGTTGTGTTGGTGATAATCGACTAACATGTATACTGGGTGGCAATTTTTGATTTTTAGCATCCTAGCTTGAGGCTTACTATTGCGACCGCGTTTGTCAAAATTTCATCAAATGTCGAAGTTTTAGTAAAGTACTTTTTTCCATCTGTAATTTGGTATGTAGGCAATTTTCCGAGTTCCGGTTGACTGGCAAATGAGCGCCGGAATTACACAGCATCTTCAAAAATCTACTCGCAAAGCTACTAGTTCCATCGATTGCAGCCAAGAAAACAAGTTAAAAAGTTTATAAGAAGAATTTCATTTCAATGCTTTTCTAAATAAGAAATTTGGAACTGCGCATGCGCAAACCTAAATTTTGAAACTAATGTTAGATTTTCCTTTGTTCCAAGCGCCAACCCAAGTAACACCATACGTCCAATGGACATTCAGAATTGATCCATTTTTTGTACACACCACCACAAGAATGGTTTTTGAGCAATCAATAGCGAAATGGTTGAGACGTGCAAAGGAGAGGAAGGACAAAAATTAATAATCAATGACTGTATTATTATAAACACATAAATAAACTATCAATATTATTGTTATTATTATTAGGCAAAATATCCATGTTACATCCCAGGTAAACCTCCATTGGATGTAGTGTATGGATGTTCAATGGATATCCATTCTAGTGCCAAACGTACATCCACTGAACATCCATTGAATGTTTGAGGACCTAATATGTACATCCAATGGACTTTTGAAATGTCTAATAGATATATCCATTGTACGTCCATTGTACACATGTGTGTTACCTGGGAAAGTATCAAATTTTACTTAAATGCTTTCATAAATAAAAAAGTTGACACTGCGCATGCGCAAAACCAAATTTTGAAACTGGCGTTAGATTTTCCTTTATTCCAAGTGCCTATGTATCAAATTTCATTCAAATACTTTTATAAGAAAAAAAGTTTGCAATTCGGTGTATAAATTGTCGAGATGCGAAAAGGGCACTGTGAATTTTGAATCGATTCGACTCAACTTTTGGCATTGCGTATTATATGGCTAAGGCTATGCCCATTTTGAATTTCATGCAATTCAGTTCATAACTAACGGAGATGTAAAAGCGATCGGACATTTCTAAACAAAATTATCGTTCACGCGGACAGATAGAGGGACAGACAGGCAAAGGAACAGACGGACAGACCAACAGACAGACGACAGACAACAATACAAAATTATAAATGATATCTAGGGTGGTTAATAAACGGCAAAAGTGTAAAATTATGGAACATGTAAAAAACGGTTTGTTGGTTTTTTTACAATAACTTTTTTAGCAATAAACGCAGAAAAAATTCCTTCCTTGGTGCAAGCCTCGACACCATAACGAACCAAATAGCGAAAAAAGTACAACAATAGCTCTTAAGATAAAGAACTAGTAGCGTCGCAAAACGAGCGGACGGACGGACGGACAGCCGGACGGACGGACGGACAAAGTGGCCACAATAGCGCATTTTTTTTTTATTTTTGTGGAAATGCGCTAAAAATGAACGATTTGCACTAGGCTTCTCGGGTGCCAGTTCTGATGACGACTAGCACTTCTGCTATGTTAGAGCTTACCTTTTCCTGGCTGATGTTTTCTAAGTTGCTAAATAACAACACTGACCAAAACTAACATAAATTGAGTGTTTTATTTGCAATTATGTGCTCTTGTCAAGCGTCAATTATATCACATATTATAGTAACGGACATCATGTAAAAAAATAAATTAGCTATAAAAGCGAATCTGTATAATCACTTAAAGGCATCATTTCTCTCGCACAAGCTCAATGGACGAAGTGGCTTTGACAGACAAAATAAACGGACCCTGCTGATTGGGTTGAAATGTTGTAGGAACGATATGCAAAACTCCAGCCGGAATACTCTCGAGCTCCAAAACCACGAAACCAGATCTACAAAATGAGACTTATGAGAGTACTCAAACCTGTACCAATACCTGTAAGGGCCCGATGACGTAGTTCGGAAAGGCGCCGTGATGTCAGTATCGTTTACGCTGGCAATGGTGACGTCGAATCCAATCTGATATTGCTTCGGTCCTTTTAGTTCGATGAAAATTTTGTTATCGTTGGTGGCGCTGTTGAGCTCCAAGCGGTAGCGCGGGTTGTTTTTGTAAGTTTGGGGATGGTTTCCGCAGCCGCCGGCGGTAACGGCGCTCCACTCGCCCGCCACTTCCTTGTGCCGCACGTAGTTGTCCTCTATTTTGCTGAGCTTAAAAGGAGTCGTCGAGTAAGCGCGCAGGGTGTAATAAATTGTTTGAGTTTTTTCGTACTGTGAAACTACCAACGTGTAGCGACGGCTAGAGCTGGAGTTTAGAATAATTTTGCACAAATAGTGCGGGCTGTTAATGCGAACACCGTCGATGTATGGTGGTGGATCATCTGCACAACAAGAAACTAACATGGAAAGAACAAGGGGAGTATAAACTTACTCGGATAGTATACTCGCTTTCCGTTCCCTTTATAGACTAAGACAGTGATATATTCGCTATTCTCTCTAAAATCCTCAATCGCAGTAATGTGACGCGTGAGCAATATCCACACTGCCCCAGATGAGCTTCCTGGAACGTCTAAGGAAAACTGAGGATTAGAACCGATCGTGTACATATCTTTGGCGGGTCCCGTGCCGGCACTCCAAGACTGGTGCAGGCAGTACGTGTAATCGAAGAGCTCCGGATTCCAATTCATGTAAAACACGTCGAAGAATGCGCAGATGCTATCGTAGTCGATCCAAAAAACTCCATTATCAAACTGCGCGGCACTGTTCGGGTCAAAGTTGAGAGTCTGTTGCAGATGAGGCGTCCAATGCCGCCTGTCCAACTCCGAGTAGTTGCCCTTCCAGCGCAAGTGAGACCACGGGTTTTTCAACTTCAGCAATTTAACCTACGGGGACAGTAAGAGGAAGCGAGTCGATGCGTACGGTGTACATACACCTTCGACATTCTGCACGTCCATGACGGCGTAGGCGTGGGTCGGTACCAGTCCCGTACGTTCGGCTTCCGCGTCCGATAAGTCACCGGTGGCGACGGTTACTAAAACGTCACCCTTCGTTAACCGACTGCTCAGTATAGAGAATAACGCGTCTTTATTGAAATCGGGATCCTTGGGACGTATGGCCATTCGCTCCGGTATCCAACCAGTCAGAGCGTGCAAGTCGATACTCTAAAAGTTGTTTTTATATGAATTGATAAGTTGAATTACAGACACGTATTTTTAAACATGTACCGTTTTATGCCAACGGTGATCTCGCGTAGGTTTAAATTTAGATCGGAATGTGTGAAAATCCCGCGAACGGGTGCTGGTGCCAGTCAGGCGCACAACCAACCGCTTCAAATGTGTGAATAATCAAATTGATGAAATTTACTATGAATAATTAAGATAACAGAAATTAATATCGTGCTTCTAATTTTAAACTGTTGTCATTCGCAACAATATCCGCCATTTCAGAATTCAACTTAAATAAAAAATTCCACTATTGCCCGTATTTACCGTAATAGTTTCTAAGTCGTAAATTATCCTTTGTAAATGAGGGTCACCAAAAAACTTTTATTTGTTACTCAGTTGTAAACGTTGATTAACAAGACAAAACGCAAACGGGTAAACGTCATCTTTAAACGCTACTGACTTGTAAAACTGACAGCTGACGTGTAAAAATTTTACAAGTTAGTAATCTAGTAATTTCATTGGCCAGAATTAATGCGAAGGAGTTACATGGATAATATGATATTTTAGACATTTCTTCGAGATCAATTTAAGAACTAATTATTTACGTTTACAAATGAGTAACAAATAAAATATTGTACATTATACGCCAGGTAATAGTTTTTACTGGCTCTAGGAGATGACAGGCTCGCCAGTCAACTTCTCCTATCGCCAGTAAAAACTCACTTACCTGGCTAATAATGTAAAATACTATAATTCGTGCTTTTAAACTTTACGTGTTTGTTTTACACGTACTTGACTTCGCTACCGCGTACGAAAGTAATGCACGTTCTTGATTATGAGCGTCTCACATCAATACAAAAAAAACACCCCGCGCTAATTTACAGGTAGTTAACTCTGTCCCACTTACAGACGCAAATTCTCTTTTTACTAACAAAACATCCCACGGCAATTTACAGACGGTTGAAGTAACGTCGCTCGCCACTACTTTTTCTTTTATTTTATTGAGACCCATCCCGTGACGCATTAGACCAATTGTACCCATCCAATCACATTGCCTTCACGGGTAAATATTTGCAGAACACACCACGAAATATCAATACACACCTAAAAAAAATATTAAAGAAATACGTTAACGGACTCCCATTAAACAATTAAATGATTGTACAAAATGGGAGCGCGATATCTTCAGCTTTAAGACCATTGCTATGAAACTGCTTAATTACAGGATGAGTCATTAACACCCGTCTGACGATTCTTACGTAATTTACGTTACTCGATTTTCACCAGGATAAGCGTAAGTATACCCAAAGAACGCGAAATCCAAAATTATTTATTTGGCGCCCAGCCACAGTATTATTTATTTGGTGCCCAACGTGGGGCCACAGCAATATTTATGGAAGGTTCATAATTTCGAAGAGAATATCGGATTGACCAGTGAGGACTTTTAAAAACGAATAGGATTGATCTAAAGAAATGTAGACTGAGCAGAACAGGTTTTCACCACGAACTTTGCTGATTACCTCTATATAAGGAGCGACTACAGTCATAATGTAGTCGATAAAAACGTCAGGGATTTTGATTTATTGGGCAAAATGGCAGGTCATGTTGTCGTCCAGCGAAATATAATTCTCCCTACTGTTATAGTGCAACTTTAAGCCTTCTAAGGGTAGAAATCGTACAATTAAATCCTGATCGACAATTAAAAAAAAAGGCTCTGGCAATAGCATCATAACTGAAATGCTTCCCTTAAAGAAATAAAAATCAAAATACTTACACTGTTACTACCTGGAAAATCATATCCACCCATCACCTTCATGTAGGCCTTTTCGAGTAGGGACACCCAGAACTCCGTCTTGTTATTCGAGTACGAACACAGCAGTTGCCCATACCGATTCATCGGCAGCAAATCGTCAATAATGATCTTACGCGTGACGCCATTCAAATGCAATTTTATCATGTACTTCCCAAACGGATTGTACAGAGGACGCTTCTCCTTATTTCGGGGATAAATGATGGCCGTAACCAACTTGCGACCGAATCGTTTCTCATACGATGCGCTCACAGCCAAACTGGCGACGAACGAACAATCCGATATTACAGTCTGCTTGATGCTGTAGTAGTTCGGCGACTCGGGTGCCAAAACGCACGGCTCCTGGCAGAGTTCGTCCGGTCTCACCCAACGAGCGAACTCCTTTCTTTGCTTCGGTGAAAGTGCCAGCGTCCCGTCCTTGTCTGTAAAGGGAATGGCGTACTGAAACTTTTCGGCTAGATCGATCGACATGAACGGTACGAATTCGTTGTTGTTGATCTTAGAGGTGTGGAAGAGGACGCGTTTCTCCTCTTCGGTGTAGGTATCGGAGCCACCGGTTACTTTTAAGTGAGCGCTTGTTCCCCTGTGCAATTTGGGTATTCGCCTTTCGGCTATCGGAGACATTGGGGGTGCACTCGGAGCGGCTTTTGGTGGTGACGATGGAGTCGCCGGAGGGGTACGTTTACTAACTCCTATTATTGAAAAAAAAACAAAATAACCATCTAGTTTTGTAAAGGACCAATTAATTGGCTTTATTTACTAACAACGCCATGTGCGAGATAACGAAGCGATGTTTCGAGAATCATCGGGGAACGATGATATGGAACGGAGGTGGCTTGATCTTTAAGTACGAAAAATGGGGAATAAACGAGGCTGTTTGCGGGTCGATTTAAAAGAAGCGTATTTCATTGTTGCGGATTACGTTAGCACTTACACATGCGGTTCCGCAGTTAAAAGGACAAAGTCAGTGTCCCGTTTTTGATAGTGTTGTTAGTTAAAGCTTAAACTTCATCCGATGCGAGTTCGGCCACAAGATCCAGAAGTACACGGAGGACGCAGTTACGTTAGCCGATCCCAGCCACCACCTGCAGGTATATATTGACATACGGCAGTTCGGTCTGTTGTTATCTCGGTTGTTATTATACAAGGCGTTTAAAAATAGAATTAATTTTATTTTAGTCTCATATGTCCCCGGAAGTCATACAAACTTTAAGAGGGTAAATTCAACATTTCGGGATTTTAATTACAGAATGACCCTATATTTTCTCAGTTAAACAAAAGAATGCTGTATACGAAAGCTTCTTTGTAAGGATTGCTGAATAATCTCTAATCTGAAAAAATTCAAAAAAGGGATCAAACATTTTTTTAAATCTTTTATTTGATAAATTTTTGAAAAAAGAATTTAATATACCTACTATTTTTTTAGATTAAAATCTACAGGGTGCTACATTTAAAAAATGGGGTTAGGTTCGACACATTTTTACCTGACACCATCTATTTATTCTGAAAACAGCAATTATTTAAGCATTATAAAAAAAAAAAACTAAAAAAGCATAGGGTCATTTTGAAATTGCCAACTTTTTTATTTTCCCCTGTATCTTTTAAGAGTGAAAATTTTCAAATTTTGATTTTTCCATTTTAAATTTTACTTAAAAAGAGCACCTGAAGCCTATGTTACCTTTTGAGGGCACTAACAGTGACGGAGACACCCTATAGGTGTCAAAAATGGGACACCTGTCCAACTTTTCACAACTATATTCCCATTTAAATCAAATAATTGACTTACCTTGTCAATGGACACCCTATATATCGAGGACTTTGTAACTGCAGATGCTTGGAAGACTATGGGAGGATTTTGGAGACTATTTTCAATACCTAAAGGTTGTTAAAGACCTTTACAGCTCCATAAAACCTCTTAAACGTTTAACAAGCCAGTGAGAGTTCTTCCAGACTGGTTTCTTAAGACTATTAGAGCATATTAGAGGTTCTTAAACGTACCCTTAAAGCCTCTAGAAGGCTACTGGAAACTCTGAAGCCGTTAAGACACTGTTAGACTGTTAAAGACGATTAAAGAGACCCTTAAACCTGGTAAGGGATTTTATACCTTAAGCGTTAGTACTTAGCCAACAATACCTTTCAACTCCTCGGCACGTTCCAGACCGCGAATGATCACGTCCTTCAATTCTCCATGCAACAGCTCCGAGTTTTGAGTTACGTACTCGATCGCATTGGCATACAGCTGGATGGCATCGTCTTTTAAACCGGCGGCGTCCGCGTCCAAAGCCTGTTCGAGCAAGAAGTGGCACCGACGCATCCGCTGTTTGTGGACATCCTCCTGAATGACGTGCGTCTGCGAGTTTTTAGCATTCGTTAGGGTGGCAGCTCGAGCGGCGTACTCCTGGGCCTTTTTGCTAAGAGATTGTGCCTTCTCCGGTTCGCTAATTTGAGCGGCTTGGTTTAGGTTCTTCGCCGCGATGTTGTAGAAGTATATAGCGGGATCTTGTTGCCCATTCGAGTCGAACTGTACAGCCCTACGGGCTGCCTCGACGGCATCTTCGATTAATTGCAATGGGCGACTCATATTTACAATTGAGGTTAGATCTTCATGGTGCTAAAAAGATTGTTTAAAGACTTCCTACTTACTGACTTAATTATTATAAATAAACATTTTGTGTTTGACATCATATTAAATTAATTTGAAGGTTATGCAATCGTACGTCAACAAGACACATTGGCCAATCAAAATGCTTTCTCTGGAATAGGCAGTGGCGGCGAGGTGCACATTTTCATTAAGTGAACAAACCAGAGGCGTAACTAGAAAGATACAAGTAAACTTGATCTGTTACAAGTGTTCTTTATGTTGTTTTATTAATTATTTATTTATGTATTCAAGTGGAAGTATATTATCAGTGTAATGTTGCCCTGTATGAGTCGAATTACTATTTATACTGTAGACAAAGTACTAGATGTAGTTCGATTATGCGTTGTGTACGATGATTTTTCAATTTCTTTCGTACTGCAGTCTTTGTGTCTTAGCAATATGAGAAAGCGGGTCGCATCTAGTGAACATTCCTTTAGTTTAGTATGTGGGTTTCCTTTAATCTAATGAGCACTGCTTGCTTTTTCATCTGTACTTTTGACTGTTAAATATTAATATGGTAGCGGATTAAACATTAGGTACGATTGTGAACCGGCATTAAGGGTTCTCTGTGATCGGCTTTCTCTTCTGGCGAGCGTAATAGTTTTGATGAAGCGTCAGGGGTACTTAGAAATCGAATAACGGATGTATTTGGTACCCAACCTGAGACACCGGGTTCAATTAATAAGGGGTATGAGGTATGTATAAACTAGGTATAAAGTAGGTATAACAGAGGGGTAGCATCAAAGACATGTAAAACCATGGAGAAGATGCCTTAAATGGCACATGAAGGCCACCAAAATAATATAAACAAGCTTGAAGAGGAGGTGATACACCAAAGAGGTGGAAATAGGGAAAGAAAATAGAGGAAGAAAGGTTGAAAAAAGTGCTAAAAGACGTGAAAGAGACGTTTGAAACTTGAGGAGGCCCGAAGGAGACGCGAACAAGGTCCCAATAAGAAACCGTAAAACAGGTTAAAGAAAAGCCCAAAAACATGCGCGAAATGAACATAAAGAAAACGTGAGTGAGATGTGTTCGGAGTTGAAAGAGAAATAAAGCAGCATAGTAGAGATTTAAAGCAGGCATGGTGAAAATGTTGGTGTAGTGGGTTAAAAAAAGACCAGTTTGAAGGATGGACAACGTCTAAGGTGAAAAAAACGCGAGAGCGATTCGTGCAAGCGATGAGATGGTGCTCGTGGCGGAGGGGGAGGGGTTGTGGTTTGAGTCAGGAACAACATGTGAAAGTAGAGGAGGCGTGACAAAAGAGATCGTGAAGGGTTCGTGAAAAGGGTACGAAGAAAGGGAGAGAAATGGTTAAAAGGAAGGGAGTGCAATGCGAGGTGCAATGTAACAAAGGAAACTTTGAAGCAAGCGCGAGAAACGTTTGAAGTAGGCGTGAAAAGTTTTGAAAATAAAACAGAAGGTCTAGGGATGATATACTAAGAAGGAGGCGCGACATGATGTAAGAAAATCGTTAGGAAGAAAATGCGAAACAATCATAAAGAAAGAGTGAAGTAGGAATGAAGAAGATTATCTAGGTGAAGGTTCGAGAAATGATACAAGGGAAGTGGTCGGCAAATCTTTTAGGGGGTTCGAGGAACGCGTTAATGTGACATGAATGAGACAAAAATGGGTGACTGTCATGTTTTCGAGGAACGCGTTAATGTGACATGAATGAGACAAAAATGGGTGACTGTCATGTTTTCGAGGAACGCGTTAATGTGACATGAATGAGACAAAAATGGGTGACTGTCATGTTCGCTTCGATTACTAATAATGTGATAATAACGCCACATCAAAAAACGTTAATAACACAGAACTATTCTAACTATTTTTTATTGTCCTTAATCACCATGTAACGGAGCATCCGTTTTCACCTTGATGTTTACCTGTTTTAGTGATCACTCTGTAGATGAACACGGAACACCCGGTATCTAAAAGTGTTTTAAGTTAGGCGCTTCGTTGGGAAAAGTGTCGTGCCGACAATATTTGTGTTGGTTCTAGGAATTGAAGATAGAAGGTAAAGGTATTTGATTTAATTTCAAGAATTTTGTTTCAGCAGCCGCTACCGTAAACGAAACCTGTAATTAATCCGCGGTTTGTAACCGTTCCCGTCAAGGTATTTCCATTAATTTTTGCTGCGTCCAAAAGCTGTCATTTAGAAGACGAGTATCCATGAATATTTTCGAATTTTAGATCCGTTAAGTCATTATTAGCAGATATTTGTTTCCTCTGGTATATTAAAGCGAGCATTCAAACTGCAAGGCCATGCAGGTTTACGCCGATATCATTTTCAGAAGCGACTTATGTTGATCTGAGAAATTCCAATTAAAAATAGGTGTTAATTGGACTACCAACTTTAGAAATTTGAATCCGATCAATTAATCAAGTGCAATTAACAGTAAACAGCATCCGATTAAGTCGTGTCAAAAGAAATCTAGGACGTCCTCAGGCGGCACAACTAATTAAGGAATTATTAGCTTTTGGATGTAGATAACCGCGAATACGCCGTGTCGCCAGAAGTTACGAGTTCGGGGCTTTCCTAGGCGTTTGGATCCATAATGGAGCAGAAGCTATCTTTAGAGAACGAGTGGAATTCATGACAATTTAGAACAAGGTGACTAATTCAGCAAAGTACGGCCACTGTTTACTCTCAAGAATGAAAGATATACAAAAAAATGCCCCAGTTGATGACACAAAAGTCCTGTATTACGGCACTACTAGATTAGGGTACATAAACTGGTTCGAACCCTATCAAGGAGCGGCAATGAACATCGGTCAAATATTATGCGCATTTTAGGGTCGGAGCGGGGATAGTGTTGGAGTATGTATGCAAAAAATGTCAGGAGAAAGTGGAGCTCTTTTTCGCTCTTTTCCCTCTTTTGTGGATAACTTTATGACATCCCCCATCCCCAATCTCTGGAAGAATTTTCTGCAAACGGAACGGTATGATTTACCGTATAGTTTGTATGCTCAAATTCGGCTAGAATTGAACCGACGATTTACAAAGTGAAACGCTACTCCCAAAAAGAAAAAGAGAATATTCATGGTAGGAAGGAGAGCCACATCTAATAAATATGTACAATATGTTAATATGGGAGGGATCGATCGTTCTGATATACAGGGTGATTCCTATAGTACCTGCCACCGTTTGGGAGCGTGTAGGTGGTGCGTAGGGGAGTATTTTGATATAGGACACTTGGGGTCGGAAATCTAAAATAAGGGTGCCAGAGCCAAATTTACCTTCTGGAATTTCGCGCCTGTAGGTAGCAACCCAACCGGCCGGCGGTGCACACGGAGCGATCTCAGGCGGCGATGTGTGGCTGACACTTGATCAGAATTTTGTTTAAACCCACGAAATCCCGTCTGCAAGGACGCGTATCAAGTGAATAAACACTATGGCAATAGTATAATAATAGTTGGCTAGATGTAGGAAGTGCATTGAGAACAACGGTGGCCACGTTGAACACTTGTAAACGTTATTGCTTTTGACTGTGGTTTTCCCTCCTTCCCTCCATGTCGCTTCCTCGCGCTAACTCGCTCTGCATCGCTCCGCGCGAAACGTCGGTCGGTTGGGTTGCCTACATACAGGCGTGAAATTCCAGAAGATAAATTTGGTTCTGGCGCCCTTATTTTAGATTTCCGACCCCAAGTGTCCTATATCAAAATACTCCCCTAGGCACCCCCTAGACGCTCCCAAACGGTGGCAGGTACTATAGGAATCACCCTGTAGATATAGATAGATATAGATAGTTTCCTTTATATAGGACGGGCCAAATATAAGTGATTTATTTTAAACGCTAACGATTAACCATTCCCAAACATTTTAGGCAGGTGTGGGATGCGGTTTTCTCTAAACTTTGTGACTTGGTACACTTTGACTCTGGGGCACATACTGATTCAACGATCTAGATTTATCGGGGAATTATTTATCGCAACCCCACCATTTGATTTTGGAACTTTTGGTGGGAGGTGTGGTATATTATGGACGCACACTAACTCCGAGAACATTATTTTGGTGTTGTAAATTCAAATTTCCTTTGTGAAAAGCAAATTAGTCAGTAATTGGGCTCCATTCGAAGGACGTTCTTCCCAAAAAAAACGTTAATTTGATTTTTAATGCGGTGCAAAATTCAAGTACAAACATAATAAGGTAATTACATTCAACAAATAGAAATAGTTATGGAAATAAATGTATTGTCGATGAAAAACTTGGCATTAGGTCCTATTGGATGAAGTCTGGATCAAAAAATAGCTGTGCATGCAAATATTCGCGTTTCTACGGGTAGAATGACTAAAGTGACAGATACGTGATGAATTTCTAATTTACTAATCAGCGATTATAGCTGTTATCTATATTTATATAAACACATCACATCACAGTGGAAACCTTCATAGTATTAATTGTGCAACAATGCTATGGTTAATTGTGCTGGTTCTGCTTTTGGTGGTGTTCTACAAGAAAGCGATTAAGCCGCTCTCTTACTGGAAAGATCGTGGAGTACCCCACAAGAAGGCGTTACCCTTGATTGGCAATTCTAGTGTCCTTATTTTCAAACACAAGTCATTTCTGGAGTACGTGGAAGATATCTACAATGAATTTCCCAATGATAGGTAAGTTGAACAGTATATTAACCGCAGAACGACACCAGAATTTTAGATATTATGGATTACATCAATTTACCAGACCGCTACTTTGTATTCGCGACCTTGACTTAATAAAAAGAATAACGGTAAAGGATTTCGACCAGTTCGTTGACCACAACAATTTCGTTGTCGATAATGTGGACAGTTTGATGAGTAAAAATTTGATAAATCTGAAGGGGCAGACATGGCGAGACATGCGGGCCACCCTTAGCCCATCGTTCACCAGTCGAAAAATGAGAGCGATGTTTCTGTTGTTTTCCGAATGCTCCCAGCAGGTGGTCGAATTTTTTGAGAGAAAAGATGAAGGTGTGATCCAGGTAGAAATGAAGGACCTTTTCACTCGATTCACCAACGACGCAATCGCGTCGACGGCATTCGGGTTTAAGTGCGACTCCCTTACAAACCAAACGAACGAATTCTACACCATGGGAAAAAAGGCCACCACCTTTGGAGGGAGTAGATTACTCGCGATGTCTTTTCTCGGCATGTTCCCGTTCCTTCAAAGGGTAATGGTAATTCGGGGAGTACTTTTCTCACTTTAGCTAATTGTAGATTATCAAATTTGATATATTTCCAAACAGCGTTTCTAAATTTTTCCGGCGAGTTATCAAGGAAGCCATCGATAAGAGGGAGAATGAAGGTCTCGTTCGACACGACATGCTTCATCTGCTGCTAGAAGCTCGCAAGGGAGTATCCGTACAGGAAGAACCGGAGCTCGAGGATACCGGATTTGCTACAGTTCAAGAATCCAAAATTCACCACGGAAAGTCCACCAACCTTAAACTGACAGACGAAGACATAACCGCGCAAGCACTCATCTTCTTCTTTGGTGGCTTCGAAACGTCCGCCACCTTGTTGTCATTTATGGCTTACGAATTGGCACTGAACCCTGACATACAAGAAAGACTGCAAGCCGAAATTGACGACACCTTGCACGAGTGTAATGGAAAATTAACATACAACGCGCTACAGTATATGAAATATATGGACATGGTCGTTTCGGAAACGTTAAGACAGTGGCCGCCTGGTTTCCAACTGGATCGCCGCTGCGTAAGAGATTACGTGATCGAACCGGAGAAACCCCACGAGAAACCTGTTACAATCGAAAAGGGAATGATGATAATTATTCCAGCCGTAGGCATTCACCGCGATCCACAACACTTTGAGAATCCCACCAAGTTTGATCCAGAACGGTTCAACGACGAAAACAAGGTTAAAATTAAACCCTACTCCTATTTACCTTTCGGTTCCGGTCCAAGAAACTGCATTGGTAAGTTTTGTACGTGTTTTGCTACAGCACTTATGGATCGGTTTCAGCCTCTCGTTTTGCGCTTTTGGAAACCAAAACGTTAATGTTCCATATTCTGGCAAAGTTTAGTATGGTGGTGATCGATAAAACACAAATTCCCCTAAAGCTTGATAAGGCGAGACTTTCACTGGTTGCTCAAGATGGAATTTGGCTTGGATTGCAACCCCGAAAAAAATAGAGACGTGCCCTCGGACCTACCTTCTTGTCAGTGGCGTACGTAGAAATTTATTCTGGGGGGGATTAAACAAGTTCGTGGCACGGGGGGGGGGGGGGGGTAAGAAATAGAAATTGGATTGCACAGGCGAAAAAGATTAGATTAGAACGGTATTTTATTTCTTACTGCTGACAGGCCCCTTTATTGCTTTTGCTTTAATTAGTCAACGAAAACTTTGAATAATAGGTATATTTATGGGCAAAAAACCAATTTCGACAAAAAATTCAAAGGCTGTAACTTTTGATCTAGTAGTCCGATCTTGGAACTGTTTGGAATTATGGATTCTACAGGCCACATTCTATAAGAAAATATTTTTTTCCGGTCGATCTGAGACAATTTTTTTTTCTGGGCAAAAAAAAGGCAGTTATTACCTACCTTCCTTTTTTACCAAAAATCGACTGCACCAAAATTTCTCGAGAAAAAACTTTTTCTTATTAATTTGGGTGCGTAGAATCCAAAACGAGTCGCACTTTTCGATTAGACGTCTCCATCAAAAGTTATGGCCAAAAAACCAATTTAGACAAAAAATTCAAAGGGCTGTAACTTTTCATCTAGTAGTCCGATCTTGGAACTGTTTTAAATTATGGATTCTACAGGCCACATTCTATATGAAAATATTTTTTTCCGGTCGATCTGAGACAATTTTTTTTTCTGGGCAAAAAAAAGGCAGTTATTACCTTCCTTTTTTACCAAAAATCGACTGCACCAAAATTTCTCAGGAAAAAAACTTTTTCTTATTAATTTGGGTGCGTAGAATCCAAAACGATTGGTACTTTTTCGATTAGACGTCTCAATCAAAAGTTATGGGCAAAAAAAGTTTTTTTTTTAAATTTCAAATTCTTATTTTCGTCATTTCGTGAAAGGCAGGACGCAGGTACCTCACCTCAGTAGCAGTACTAAGTACCTGATACCTATTTGTTATTTTGGGCATCAATGTAGCGAATTGCCGATCGATGCCGAATAGCCAAATCGTTGACTGCCAACACTGATCACTCACTGAATAGTGAATACTGAATACTACAGAATATTTAGATTTTAGTGACTTTAGACTTTAACCAAAACCAAAATTGCTCTCTATATATACCTATTATTGCCTTTATTTTAAAGTGGGCGGAGCGGATAGCGGAGTATTACCTAAATACCTAATAGCTATGATGATAACTCAATTCTTCTGGGGGGGGGGATATATCCCCTTCATCCCCCCCGTAAATACGCCACTGCTTCTTGTATTGTTTAATTATTTTAAAGTAACAACTTCTGCAAATGTGCAATTTGTATTTATAGGATATTGCACAATTTCTCAGCTTTCACACGTGTATAAGGAGCACTTTACTCGTATATTATCAAATGTAAAAAACAAACACCTATCAAACGTAGAAAGGGCAAATTAGAACTTTGTAAATATGTAAGAGTATGGTAATTAAAATATAAGTAATCATATTTATTAAACTCCACATGTTTTATGTATTTAATTCTAGTTACCACTGCTTTAAATGTACTCGAGCGTAATTTAATTTTTAATTTCTTTATGATTCTAATTCTTCTGATATTGTTTCGTTTTTTAAGTGGCTAGGTTGCTATTGGAATAGCATATTGACTTAAGTTAATTTAGTTTAAAACATTTTATTTTCTGTTTAGCTTCAGGTGAATTCTGTCAAAATATACTATTAATAATTTAATTTTTCGGCATAATTGCAGTGCAAGGTAAAGACGCTGCGAGCCCCACAGCCCCAAATACTTCAGCCAGACAGTGAATCGTTCTGGCCGCGTATGCGGCCGAAAAGTGTGGAGAAGACAGTACAATGGTTACAAGCAAAAGCATCAAGCATTTTTGTAATGGGACTTTGGTAAACAAAAAGATCTTCACTAAAAACGTGTTAGAAATGCTTGAGAAATATTCTTGCTTTTAGAAACAATCCTCTTTTTTGAAATCGCCATAGAAACTCATCATGCAAACCTTTTGAAAATATCGAAATGCTCCTACGAATCATGGCTGCAAACTCGTTAGGAATCCTCTTCCGTGGAATACCTCTCTTTAAAAGTCATAGAAATATTTTCGAAATCTTTATTGAAATCAAATTCGAGAACATTCTAGAAACACCCTTAGAAAGAAAGTGTTTAGGAATTTACTTCTTTTAAATATTTCTTCCTAGAGCTTTCTTAAAATTATTCTTCTTGGAAATTTCTCCATTAACCTACTTAAACATTTCTTTACTAGAAATTTGCCTGAAACCCTCATTCGGAATCTTCTTGAACATCTTTTTAGGAGCCCATTTTCTAGGAATGAACAATTCCTTGGGAGGTACTTCTACAAATTTAAACCCGCATTAATATGTGTTTTGTAATAAAATCCATATAATTCCCTATAATTCGATAATGGAACATCGTATTGAAACATTTTTCTAGAAATCTTCTTGAAGATCTATTGAAAAATCGTCGTTGGAAACAATCTGCTTGGAGACCTCATTAGAAACCGCCTTCAACATTTTATGAAATGTTAATTGTTGGGAATATTCTTGAAAATAGCTGTAGTTTTGGGTATTTTCCATGAATCTCCTTAAAAGTTGCATACTTTTTTTTTCGAAACTTTGAATATTAGAATAAAGGTCCGCTAGGGTCTAGGTATCGGGTGAACATATACCTTGGTAGGCCAAAAATTCTTTCCTTTATACACCCCTTTATCTTGGTCCTAATAAAATGTTATTTATCAAACTTTTGACCATGCGTGACAATGATAAGCGCGGATACTGCAGGTGAGCCAGAAGGGAAACCTAAGGGGGCAAGCTGTCACTTACGGTTACGCATCTGATTGGTTCTTTCAATTTAATTTGAATGCGATCGCGATCTCTTTTGTTGAAAGGACCAATCAGATGCGCTTATGCCAAGAAACAGATAAAAAATTGCGACGTCGTTTACTCCACTACAATACAATGGCGACCCCAGGGACTATTTCCTCCAAAACTAAACAGATCCAGCTCAAATTTGAAATGGAAAACAATGAAATTGTGAAAAGTTTGTTTAATAGTCATTGCTCATCTTATAAAGATTGTGAAAGTTCGTAAATTTAAGTCGAAATAAATTAGATTGCAAGAATAAGCCTTGAAAATGGTAGTTCACTAAATAAACAAAAATAGGCTAGAAAAAAAAAGAACTTACCAAGAAAAAAACCTGCCGATAAATTAATATTAAGTTGTGTAGCCAAATTGTTTGTTTGTAATGATGTAAATACAATTATAACAATATTAACAAAATATGTAGGCTTCGAGAGATGACATACCTATATCTTAAAAACAAGTTTTGGGAACAATGGGTCAGGTAAGCAGGTACTAAGATTCTGAGAAAGGGTGAAATTCAGTGTTACGAAAAAATATGTGGAAATCAATGAATCGCAACTCATATATCACACATTGATTCTAATTATCTCGCTCCCGAGATAGATAACTCGCCCCTTGTTCGGGGTTTCGAGCGTACAGTTGATTGTCGAGATCAGCCCTGGCATTGAATGTTGTAACTCATTTGGTTACAGTTTTGCTACCTCCATGACCGTCTCTTCAAGATGAAAATGTTAGTTTACAAACAAGCGTTTGCATCTGAGGGTTAAATAATGCCCACTGATAGGTGTCAATTGTCACGAGGGCTTTATTTTGTTGCAAGTTATTGATTAACAATAACAAATGACCTCTCTTGTTCTTAAGGTGAAAATTGCAATCAGAAAATTTATCTTGAACAATATAGCAATTAAAATCATTATGCATTCGACTTGCGCCAAAAAGGGTTGCTAAAAACTTCATCTGACCAATGCAATGACAACAACAGGAATGGTTAACTTTCGATATTTTAATAAAAAATAAACACGGAAAATATTCAGACACTTAAAAAGTATGCAGCTTCTTAGTTATGGGTATTTAATCTGTTGTTATGGCATATTCTAATGGAATTGCTTAAACATTAAATTTCTACCTAGCACAGACTTGAGTAATTACTTCCTAGATAGAAGTGGTCATCTTTTTCTTCAATAAACAATCAATCAATTTGTACCTACTTGTTAATAACTGGTACTTTACGCACAAATGGTTTACGTTGACACAATAAATAGTGGAAATCTACTGAGTTCGATTAGCTTGGATTCCACGAAAAATAAAAACTCGAATAAAAATGGTCACAAACTCAGAGATTTCTTTCAATAAGAATACAAAAATATATAAACCGTTTTTTACATAAGTTTTAAAACACGTTTACGATCCCTCGCCTACAGATTAATGGTAATAATAGTAGATCAAACATTTCCTTTGTTCAAATGACTGAAAAGCTGACGATTTAGGGTTATAAAAAAATAATACAATTGTTTAACGAACCTTATGTGAGCGACTTTTCCCCGGAAGTGGAAACCGGGAGTTCTTACAGCTAGTGAGGTTGGTTTAACACACTGGAGAATATAGATGATTTCTTTGGATGCATTATTAAAAAAACCCGACAGTATGAATGATTCCACTGCACCCTCAGTGAAGATTTGATCGATTGATTCGCCGATTTCGGTTGTGATACTTTAGGTTCAGTGCAAATTTAAATGTTTGTTTATAACTTTCCATTAGATCCAGTATCTAAGTCTTTCTCGGAGCGCTGAAAAGAAGTCAAATGAGGTTCAAAATGCAGATGAAGTTGACAAAAATCTGGTAGATGATGCTCGTCAATTTCATTCTGATCCTGAGGATGTTGAAGAGAACACCGTTACACCAATTTCTTGGTTTAGAAAATGTTCAAGAGTCAATAAGCACCCTGTTAGATTTGCTTTCTTAGATGTTAAAACATTTTCCAATAAACTGACAACTGTTCGATGTGCTTTCAAAGATTCACAATCTTCGAAGTGGAAACATCATTCATGAAAAAAGAATTGGATCATTTAATAGTTCACCAGACCTGGGTTGTATGTGATCTACCATCTGGAAGGAAAGTCATAGAGACCAAATGGTGCTTCCAGATTAAGGGAGATTCAACAGCTGAAGTTGAATATTTTAACGCCATAATTGTTCAGTTTCTATTAAACACTGAATTTTTGGTTACTGTATAAAGTATACATATAGGGCTGCTAATGGTTCTAATGAAAAAAATAAACATTTAATGCGTCGCAAAATAGATACCCTTTCCAAAGAATACTCTTGTAAAGTAACAAAGAACTTTCCTTAAAAAAATACGTAATATGAAAACGGATTGGGGATGAATTTTTTGGTTACTGTAGGTATATAGGGTTGATAATGGATCTTTTAATTACAATCGATCAGCGAAAAATACGTGTAAAGTATCAGAGAGATTCCCTTAATAAGAACGCAACCATAAAGATTTGAGGAGCCCAAATTGGCACCCTTTCCATTGTATTTAATCAAAACCATTTCTGTTAAGGATCATATGCACGATCCACTTTCACTGAACAGGGACGTGAAACTGTTCAGTGCAAAAACCACTTAAAAGATATCCAAATTTAACAGACAAATATTTCTCACTCTCCTGCCATTTGGGTTTTGTAACTTTCGGCTGGAGGGGTAATATTATAGACCCAGTAATAATTCCAAGAACATAATTTTTGGCATTGTTGTAAATTCTAATTTATTGTCAGTAAATTGGCTTTTAATCGACTACTGAACACCCTCCGAAAGACGCTCTTCCCAACAAAAACGTTCACTTTATTTTTAATAGAGTACAAAGTTCAAGTACAAACACAATAATAAGTACATGGTTATGGGAATAAACCTAGTTTCAATTTCTACCACGAAAACACGTAGGTAGCGTTAGGTAGGTACCCTTGAACTCACAGTCTAAACCAAAAAGCAGTCATTGTCGCGTTTCTACGGGTAGAATGACTAAAGTGATGAATTTGTAAATTACTAATCAGCGATTAGGTGTTATCTATATTTATATCGCTCATCTACACTGGAAACCTTTGTAGTATTGATTTGTATTGTACAATTAATTGTGCACAATGCTATGGTTAATTGCGCTGGTTCTGCTTTTGGTGGTGTTCTACCAGAAAGCGATTAAGCCGCTTTCGTACTGGAAAGATCGTGGAGTACCCCACAAGAAGGCCTTACCTTTACTTGGAAATTCTAGTGTTCTAATTTTAAAAAACAAGTCACTTCTGGACTTCGTGGAAGATATCTACAATGAATTTCCCAATGACAGGTAAGTTGAACTGTACTAACCGCAGATCAACACCACACTTTTAGGTATTATGGACTGCACCAATTTACAAAACCGCTCCTTTGCATTCGCGACCTTGACTTAATAAAGAGAATAACGGTCAAGGATTTCGACCAGTTTATTGACCACAACAATTTCATTGTCGAGAATGTGGACAGTTTGATGAGTAAAAATTTGGTAAATCTGAAGGGGCAGACATGGCGAGACATGCGGGCCACCCTTAGCCCATCGTTCACCAGCAGTAAAATGAAATCGATGTTTCTGTTGTTTTCCGAATGCGCCCAGCAAGTGGTCGAATTTTTCGAGAAAAAGGGTGAAGATGTGATCCAGGTCGAAATGAAGGACCTTTTCACACGATTCACCAACGACGCAATCGCGTCGACGGCATTCGGGTTTAAATGCGATTCCCTTACAAACCAAACGAACGAATTCTACACCATGGGAAAAAAGGCCACCAACTTTGGAGGGAGTCGATTACTCGTGATGTCTTTTCTTGGAATGTTCCCGTTCCTTCAAAAGGTAATGGAAATGCAGGGCGTACTTTTCTTACTTTAGTAATTCTAGATTATCAAATTTGATATATTTCCAAACAGCGTTTCCAATTTTTTCCGGCGAGTAATCAAGGAAGCCATCGATAAGAGGGAGAATGAAGGACTAGTTCGACACGACATGCTTCATCTGCTGCTCGAAGCTCGCAAGGGAGTATCCGTACAGGAAGAACCGGAGGTCGAGGACACCGGATTTGCTACAGTTGAAGAATCCAAAATTCACCACGGAAAGTCCACTAAACTCAAACTGACAGACGAAGACATAACCGCGCAAGCACTCATTTTCTTCTTTGGTGGCTTCGAAACGTCCGCCACCTTGCTATCATTCATGGCTTACGAATTGGCACTGAATCCTGACATACAAGAAAGGCTTCAGGCCGAAATTGACGACATCTTGAACGAGTGTAATGGAAAATTAACGTACAACGCTCTTCAAAACATGAAATACATGGACATGGTCGTTTCGGAAACGTTAAGAAAGTGGCCGCCTGGTTTCCAACTGGATCGCCGCTGCGTAAGAGATTACGTGATCGAACCGGAGAAACCCCACGAGAAACCTGTTACGATCGAAAAGGGAATGATGATAATTATTCCAGCCGTCGGCATTCACCACGATCCACAACACTTTGAGAACCCCACCAAGTTTGATCCAGAAAGGTTCAACGACGAAAACAAGGTTAAAATTAAACCATACTCCTATTTACCTTTCGGTTCCGGTCCAAGAAACTGCATTGGTAAGTACGTGCGTGTTTTTTTCTACGGCATTTATTGGCCGGTTTTAGCCTCTCGTTTTGCACTTTTGGAAACCAAAACGCTAATGTTCCATATTCTGGCAAAGTTTAGTATGGTGGTGATCGATAAAACACAAATTCCCTTAAAGCTCAGTAAGGCGAGACTTGGACTGGTTGCTGAAGATGGAACTTGGCTTGGATTGCAACCCCGAAAGAAATAGAGGCATATACTTATAATTATTTTACAGCATCAACCTCGGAACGGTGCAGTTTTGTCACGAGTATAAAGAGTACTTTATCTCGTCAGATGTAAAAAACTAACACATATCAAACATAATAAGGGAAAATTAGAAGAATTAGAAACGTGTACTACACATAGTGATAAAAATCGTGATTTATTGGAAAAATCGAATAATCATATTTATTCGATTTAAATTTGTTGATTCAAGTCAGAGTGTCTGGTTTTTTTTTCGCATATTGTCAAATAGTTTTAGTTAACATTTTATTATTTGTATTATTTTCAAACAATTATGAAAAATAAATAACACCAAATAAAGTAATCTCATAATTTATGAAATTCCAGTATTTTTAATTCTGGTTTCTACTGCTTTAGGGATAGACTCACGCGTAATTTTATTTTTAATTTATCTATGATTCTAATTTTGCTATACTTTTTGTTTTTTCACTTAGGGTTTCGCATTAAGATTGATACTTGGATAGCATACCTATTGAATTATGTTAATTTAGATTTAACATTTTTAATTTCTATTTAATCAAATTGGTAAATTCCGTCAAAATATATTATTAATTATTTAATTTTCCGGAAAATTTATCATTCTAGGTACAGATGCTGTGAGAGCCACTTTTTGAAATTACCACCTTCCGGATATTCGATAAAATACATCAGCCTAATATTGAATAGCTCTGGTCGCATACTCATACCCGTAAAAATGTAACGAGAGGGTGCGACGAACTTTGACGGGATGTTCGCCACAAACAATTGCTTGAAAAATAATAAAAAGTTTAATCAAATCAAAAGAAATAAAAGTAGTTGTCTGATTAACTCCTGACTTGACTTTCCAACTACTTTTAATATAGTCATTGGTCATATAACCTTTAGAAACTTCTCTCGGGCGCCTCTATTTTCAACCCGAGAAAAAAGTGTATAAGACTTTTTTGTAGATGCCATCAAAACGCATCTTTTGTCTAATTAACATTTTTCACTTTGATGCTTACTTTTCGAGAAAAATGCAAATTTAGAAAAATAAAATAAATAGTTTAATTTTTCAATTCAAAACTTCTCAAAAACTATGAAAGTCACAAACAAACTGTATAGAACCTTTTGTAGAACTGTGTAATCCACTTTGGCCAGTGCATGAGAAAAAATGAAAAAAAAATGTTCAAGTCGGTTAGGCAGAAACCGAAAAAGAAGTTACTCAGAATGAAGACAATTTTTTGAAAACTTTTAATGAAGATAAATTAAAATATTTAGAATTGGGTAAACACAAGGGTTGTTATGTGGAATGGTGCAACGATTGAAAAAGCGATGCATTTATATTTTTCTTGCGATGTTAAAGGCTATTAAACAATACGCTCACAAAACTTGCCCTATCCAAGTATCCGTACAATCCAAGAGCGACTACAAAAAACATACTTTATATACATACTTTCCAACTGTTGTTCAATTTCAAATTTCGCGGTTCCCAAACTGAGCCAAAATGGCTGCTATTCGCGTTACTTTAGTAATCTAGGGACTCTACGTCGAATAGAATTAAAGAGACCTCGGTCGGCAAAACAAAGGACTACTGCAATAGCACTTGGAACAAATTTACTACAGAAACAACTGACGTCAAAAGCTAGCGAATGACAAAGAAGATACCTAGGTGGCGTAAGAGTTTTGAATTTAAATTACGAGTGAAGAGATTAAATAACAGCACGAATCGAAAACATCAAAAATCAGCCGACGGATATCTTCAATTGCAAAGTTACAGTTGGTAAAAGCTAGCGAATGACAAAGAAGATACCTAGGTGGCGTAAGAGTTTTGAATTTAAATTACGAGTGAAGAGATTAAATAACAGCACGAATCGAAAACATCAAAAATCAGCCGACGGATATCTTCAATTGCAAAGTTACAGTTGGTGAACTGGGGCTCAACTATATCTAGAAGCCCTCAAAGCAATAGAGTTTAATGGCCTTTCCCCTTATAAAAAGCAATAGTGAAAAATAGCACCTATGGTTATTACCATTTGCATAAGTGACTAAGAGGTTAAGAAGTTTTGAAATTGTTGTTGATCATAAAACCACTAAGGTGTGAATTAACCTTGTTATTAAGAATTTTATTTTGCAATAAGCGTGAATATAATATAATGTATACAAACTTATGATTAGTTGGAAAACTGTTGCGGTAGTTTTACACTGAACAATTATTGTCAAGGAAATTGTAATTAATAAACTTACCAAAGGGTAATTAATGGAAGAACGCGATCTCCCTGAGACCGCCCAACATGTCAAGATCGTCAAACCAGATGGATGAACTGAGACCTGGGTGCTCCCCATAAGCACCCCGCCAAAGCCCCCATTACTGGAAATCTTGCTATGCAAGCAGCAGCATTTAAGTCACCAAATGCGCTCCTAGTTTTTCCTATCCTCGCCTGTCATCTGCACCTGCCCACTCCTTCCCTCTCCTGCCTACTGCTCTCGGGACTATAAAACGAAACGGTCAAACTCAGCATCTGACAGTAATGACTTCAAGTACCGGTCCCCGCTTCTTTCAGCCTGTTGGCCCATGCGGTTCGAGTTCAGACAGTTTTGTGGTAAAACTGTAGAAAGTAGAGTGCCGGAAATTGGCGTCCCAACTGCTTCCAAAATAGAGCCGTTTTCGTCATCAGAGATCTTTAATAACAGAACGTGAGCCAATGCCAAATGAATCTCTATTGATCCTGGCGCTCAGGACCCTGACGCGTGCTGCCATCCGTGATAATATAATCTAGGGCGCCCATAAACGACATCAATATTCAATAGGAGGAAACTGCCTAGGCGTGATGCTGCTATACGTAATAGCAAACGACCCTCTTTTGCCAAATTACCTAGGGTATTACTTTTTCCTGAATTCCTCACGAAACCATCATTTTCATGCCTACTGTATGTCAGAATATATGAGTTTACTTAAAACATCATTCTTATTTGCTCGTCGAGGTATCAAAGCAAAAATCTGGTGGGAGAATGGGATCCTTAATGAAACTTTCGAAGAGAATCTATGCCGGGCGAGTGTTAGTCGAACCTTACGTATTGCGAACGGGGAAGATTGATAGATTCTTGTGATTTTATTTACGCCAATTTTGGGATCTCTGTGTGAGAAAATCGCAACAGAAGGCGGTGCCGCCATTTTCAACAAGTTTACCGAACGAGGGTGCCTTAAAAATTCGCTAGGAGTTGCCAGTAGAAGTGAATCTATTAATACTTGGCTTGTTTATGCAGAAAGAGAATTTTATTACGTGAAAGAGGCGATTGGACGGCTGATTTAATATCCAACCTGTGAATATTTCTAATCATTACCGTATATAATATGAAAGCGAACATTTTTCGTTTTGTAGTGCCAAGATACGTAAACGGTGCATCCAATTTGTTTATATAAAGTGCGAACAAAATTAGGAACAAAACGGCTACCGGTAAAAAGGATAAAGACAATTAATTCAAGCTTTTGTTTGCTGTTACTACGGTACATTTTTGACATTCATACATTGCGAAACATCGGTAATTTATTACTGTGAATAACTCAATTAAATCAACCTAAACCTGAAGCATGGTTTATTCCTGAATTAAACTGCGCCAACCATCTTTCGAAATTAATTTTTAATAATCAAGCCAATTCAACTGGTAATCTATTCGTATTGCTCACTAGTTTTCCAAATTGCTGTTGCTTTCCAAAGGAAAAATCCAACTGGCAATTGGAGAAAGTTTCAACGTATCGATAAAAGTAAGTTATTTTAAATCTTTGTGATAGATTGGTCGAGTTAGGCGGGTTTATCTCGCGAACAAATTTGTGTATTTTTTTTAATAAATGATTAGCACACTCAGGTCAAAGGTACGGGTAATCTTTTTTCTCTTTAATTGTTAATTGGTAGATTAGTATATTCAAAGGGCTATATTTGGAATAATCTCTATGGTTTATTTTATTGCAAGTGAAGTGTTTAAATTGTGATGATAATTTTCCACGCCTGTTCCAGAACCTAAGGGATTTAATGGGATCTGCACCGAAAAATTCTTTTAATTAACATAATTAATACAAGCGGTCAGATTAATTGACACAATTTTTACTTTCTAATTAACCATAAAAATAAACATTCATTATTGTTCCACAATGTTTACATGTGAGGACTGTCGGTACGTTGTCTCAAACCCAACCAGTATCCATGCTCACTGCTTTGAGAAATGCTGGACTTGTGTATTTGGAATGGGATCGCAGTTTTCTCGGTGGGTACCAAGCGGTATCTCAACAGGAAGTAAAACAGCACAAGTTTTGTTTGAAGCACGGCCATTCGGGATCCTAAGTTTATGGTATTTGAGTACTGTACACAGTTGGACTGTAATTCTTACCCATGCAAGCTCTTGAACCAAGACCAAATGTTAACATGGTCTGCGGTAAAATGCTCGCTTTGTTTTCATCGCTGAATCTTTCTGGATCGAACTTTTCGGGATTCTCAAAGTAATGTTCATCGCGTGTAAAGCAGAAGGCAGGGATTGTTATGTCTTGCCCCTTTTTAAGGTGTAGGGGTTTCTCGTGTGGCAGCACCGGTGGAATAGTGTAGGGCTTTGTCACGACGCGGTCTAAAAACACGGTGGGACTACGTAATCGAAGAGTCTCTACAAAGAGCAAATTAGGCAAACGCTTTCTACGACATGCATTTGAAAATACCTTGGCATACCATTTCGAAGTATTTCATGTTAATTATAGACTCGTAGGTGATTTTTCCTTCGCACTTCGTCCAGGTTTGATCGATTTCCTTGATTAGTTTCTCTTGGACATCTGAGTTAAGGGTTAACTCATAGGCACAATTGCAAAGATAAGTGGTAAACGAGTCGAAACTGGAGAAGAACAACCCCATGAGCTGGACCGTGATGTCTTCATCGGATATGCGCAGCTTAGAAGCGTGATTATTACCGAGGCCGTTCATGTTTTTAGGATCAAAGAGTTTTTCATCCTCAGCATCCTCTTTCTCAAAGTGAAGCTCGCCCTTTTGGGCTTCTTTCATTATGTGCAGAACATCCACTCGCACCAAGTCGTTCTTCTTTCGATACGCAAGGGTCTCCTTCATAAGCTTCTTATAGAATTTCTTCGATTCTTCGCTGAAGAAACTAACCTTGAAAAACTGAGAAGCAATTAGAAGAAAATACAGTCGGTCCACCTACGTTTGCGAATGGCTTGCTTATGGCGGCTCCAAAAAATTTAAATCCCTTAATCCGGGACAACACAAACTCATTTTTCGCCATAGTATAAAATTGATTATTGGGATCGTTGAATGAATTGCAGTTGATGCCATACGCCAAATTCAACGTGAGATCGTTCGCGACTTTGATGAACAGGTCGTGGATATCCATCGAGATTACCTCCTTACTTTCGGGAAGGCTGCAAATCAGTCGGTCCGCGCATTCGGTCATATAAGGAAACATTTGCTTCATTTTGCTTTGCGTAAAGGCGGGCGCAACCAATTTGCGGAAATCGTGCCAGTCGCGACCTGCAAAGGGACAACTGCTTCAAAGGTCCAGACCAGTCGGGCGTTACCTTTTCTGGCAAACAATATTTTATTCCAGAATGGATCCGCGTCTACCGGCAGGAACTCTCGGTGGTCGGTGAAGTGGTCGAAATCTCTAATACAAATCTGCTTCACAAGATCAAGATCGCGTATAACCAGACTGGGGCAGGTGAACATAAAGTACCCAAAGTACCTACGATATTTCATGCACAATTTGTTCCACATGATTTTAATTCTCACCTATGATTGGAGTATTTCTCATATAAATCTTTTTGGATGAGGGCGATGGCCCTTTTCTGTAACATTGCCTGCGCCAGGTTACCAAATAACGGTACGCCCCCATCGTATGGCACTGATAGCCTTTTCCAATGCTGAAGCTTGTAGATCTCTCGGAAGATAAAAACAGCGATCGCAACCAGGGCGATGACTATTAGTAACCCCATACTGAACTGAAATGTAATTACGTTCACTAGCAAAATTAAAGATGCGAAAGCGTTCCTAACCAAATCTTTACTTACTAATGCCCTATCTGCTTTACTTTTTATGGAGAATGTCTCAATAACACATCGAGATATCAAGGGGCACAGTTTATCATTTTTACGAAAATAAAATTGCCACTATGCCGTATATCTTGTTGTTAGTGTAATTTTGATTCTGGTGAAAATCAGATAAATTTCAAAGGAATATCTCTTACTTTGGACATCAAATTGACTGAGACAAACTGGAAACTTATCGCAACTGCTCAAGCACTCTTATGAACGGATTCACTCAAGCTCACTATTTATACACCGATTAGTAACGTCTGTATGTCAGGGTGGTTGGGGTGAGGTAGAATACAGCCTTAATTCCAGCATAGAGATGAAAGGTTCTTATCACGATCTGACAGATATTAACCGGTTAGAGTAAAAAAGTTCAAAGAAAATATCTTGTCTCCAACTTTTGCTCACCACCTTCATCCGAAAGGCAAAGTATTCGAAAGGGGTCAAGATTGCGTTGGATACCGTTGCCGTAATTACAAACAGCGGTAACCAAGAATTTAATATCGACCATAGTACCATAGTGGTAAACCGTTGGAAAATAAGGTATTCCTAATTAGATCCGGACGCAGATCTTTCAGCTGTTCGAGAACTGACCTTTAGAATGTGCCAACGGGTCAACAAATCACACAAACGCTATCATAAAGTTCGGATTACAATTTTTCTGTAAATATTTGCGATCATATGAAGTCTACTCAATTTGGTCAATATTTTCCAAGAATCAAGGTATCCAATATCAGCACTCTCAAATTGAGCATATTTTTGAATGTCTAAATAAGTACCTGGGCGTCTTTTGCTACATGTCGTAGGAAAAACTAAACAACCCTAGAGAACGGGAAAATTTTTAAATCTAGATTGCTCGGATCCTGTTACCTTTGATTTAAAGTCGAACTCATTATATGTTCCAGCAGGACGTTTCACTGCTGGTTGCCCAATATTGATATTTATCCCCTAGGTATTTCGAAGTAGGCTTTCAAGAAGAACTCATATGGCAGGAGTTACCATGAATCAATATTGCCACCAACCCTCCAGGACACCCAGAGCATTTGGAGGATTGTCGTCTGTTACAGTTCATTTCAGTTTCAGCAATCTGTTTTCTTTGAAATAGCACCCGTGCGATTAGGTAAGAATTTTGGAAAAATAATCTTGTTTTCGTGATAAGAGTTGAACAAAGTCGAAGTAAAAAAACAAGTCAAAAGTTTTGCTGTTTAGTTGGACTTACCTGCTTTCTATCTGCACCTTTTCTGCACTTAATATTGATTTGAAACGGAAAACTTTTGACATTCCTCTAACCGACTTCATACGTAAATATTAATTACAACAGAAGAATCCTGGTGTCACAGAGTTACAAAGTGAATGGATTGTTTCTTTCACGAATGTTTTCTTTTTCCTCATTAAATTTCTAGAAGAAAACAGTCCGTCTTGAAGTACAAATGCAAAATTACAATTTACCTTATTTATATGATCTCTAAATTTACCCTTCGAGCAGTTTAACTTTGAGTACCCTCCATGATCGAGGTCATTTGCAACGTATTAATTGCAAACATAGTGGTTCATTGCAGACTTTATGCGGTTATCTACTCGTATTTGTCTTTTTCTTACTATAGAAATTGGAATTGGGTTGTGAATTTTCGCGCTTATTTTTTTTACGAACAGCGCTTTATTAATTCAGAAAATTACTGACTTAAAAAAACATTTAGAATAAAAAATGTTGGAATATCAACTCTCTAATAGAACTACCATAACAACCTTCAATTCTAACCCTACAAACATCCAAAAAAACATCGCCTATTAAAAGGTTCGCGTTAGCAAACCACAACACCTTTTGAGAATAATAATAATAATGAATTTATTGTCTAACAGCAAAACACGCCAATTCTAAGACAATGTAGAAAAATTACAATGAATGTACATAGCTACAATAATAAATGCTAAATGCGAAAAAAAAAACAAAAATAAAAAAAAACAAAGATAGCAAACATTATTGAAAGTAGCAATAATTATCCAGCTAATAAATAAAAAACGTAAATCATAAAATAAAATTAAGTTAACAATATAATAGCAAAACAAATAGATATCTATACAATTTAAACTATAACTATAAATACAATTTAAACTCTAACTATAATAAATAATATTAGAGCTTCAAGAATTCTATTTTTTGAGAAATTCCAAAATCTTCCTGGGAGGAGTACTTTGACGCATCTACCTCCCCAGGAACGTGTGTTTTAAAGTATAATTCGCCTCAAAGGAATGCTCCTTCTTTCTCTCCGTATCCCATTCATAGTAGTGAGAGCGGTCCGCGGGAATAAACGGCAATTCCCATTAAAATTATGCCACTTTGTACACATGTTCCCTAGCCCTATTGGAGTGATTTGAGTCGCAGAGACGAAAGTTCCGTCCGTTAGGGGTACAAATGGCGGCAATTTTAAAATTGATGCGAATTTCAATCAATGTAGTGCAATTTTTGTATTTAGTGTGTCGTTTTCGGGGTTTGTGAAGTTGAAAAGGACACAAATAATATCCAAAATTATATTCATTTGTCATTTCTAGGCCGATCAAGTATCTGATATCTGTAACGTCCGACAGGATTCGAAAGTTTTACCTAATTTTCGTAGTTTAGGTGACATTTCCGGGGTTCTTTTGGGTGGGCCCATTTAAAACCTTTGTTTTATTATTAGATTTATATTCGTAACTCATAAACACGCCTCTGGATGCTAAATAAAATTTAACCCACACAAAAGAATTGTAATAATGAACTTAAAATTCACTTCACAATTAATGAGGAAAAATGTACAAATATCTTTGGTTTGAGTTCACAGAGTATTTTGACAGCCAACAATAGCACGAATTGTCTTTAATCATTTTACTGGTTGCCGCTTATTTAAAATGTTATTACACCGTGTATAAACAAATTAGGTGAACAATCTTGATTGAACTTGCGCACTAAAATATGAAATACGATACCGCGGCTAATGTTTCTTTCGTAATCTTCGATGGCACAAACTCGTTTAGGCTTTCAAATAAATACAAACGTTAAGCCATGTAAAAATAAAGAATCACATATATTCACCTCGGACGCTTAGGGAAGAATCCCGCTCTCCCACCAAATTTATCATAGTGTATTCGATGATCGGAAAAAGCGATCTCCGCTATCCACTATCTGCTTTCTACCTGGGAATTCAAAAACTGATTTCTTTCGCCTTCGACCATGTTGATGCCAAATAAATACACAATTATATTAAAAATTAGATACATATGGACCTTACTCGCCCACATAGCCATTCGATATCTTATGTATATACCTTTTAAATCCAAGATGTACAAGAAATCTCCTGCCCGTCTTATGTATGTACTATGTACCTTCACTATGGACATATGTATTTTATATCCAGTGTGTGTATTCTGTAAGTATACATTTTTGGATGTGAAATGGATGTTTAGGCACACAAACACACACACACACACAAAACAAATGCATCATAAATCTAAAATATACCAGGAGTATCACGCACATTTAATTAATAATTATTAATTTAATTTAATTTAATTAAATTAATTATTTAATAATTTAATAATTAATTTTTAATAATTTAATAATTGTATGTATCTTTTTTGTATGTATATTAAAACCTGATCATATGCCTTAAACCCCCTTGCGATGATATTCAATGTATATACATGAGATTGTAAGTATATACATTTTGAATTAGATACATGCGTTTTCTGTATTACCGACGTTACAAACGTTAGCATCTCATTTTCTGCGATGAACATACTAAGGTGCTTTTATTGTTTGAATTTGGGGCATCATGACCTAAATTTACAAATATGTGTTAGTGAGATGCAAAGACCGAATGGGAACTACTATAAGGGCAAGAATGGCAGGTGTGTTAGCAACCTAATTCATAATCTGTTATTAACTCACGCTATTATAGTGTTGAACAACAACACAATCAAGGAATCAAAAATAAAAATTTGTTAAGCACATTTTCCAGTTTTATTGCTTTAAATGATGGAGGTCACTCAGTTAGTCGTTAAAGTAAGATTAATGAAAATATTACTGTTGTTAGTTGTTTATGAATAGCATGCATACTACTTTGTTAGCCATTCGATATTTCATTGCCAATAAAATTTAAGGACTTTGTGAAAACTATTTTCAACTATATACTTAGGAGACTTAATAAACAGAAAATTTCACTCAGTGAACAAAATTTATTTATATTTATGTATAGATGCTAGGAAGCTCCCCGAATATTAGATCAATCTGTATAGAACATCCATTCTGAATGTATACAACATACATGGAATATCCTAGTGAACATCTCTGCATATTGCAAGAATATTTATGGTATATCCACTTGTCAGTATACCAATGTACAACGCATGTCTGATACATATACATAAGACATCCAAAACGTATATAGGTACTATGCATTATGTGAAGTTTGCTAAACTTATATCCCTTGCAGATACATTTGCGACATAGTTTTCCACATTCTATGGATACACAAAATCCCATGTAGATAGTGCATATTATATGCAATGTATACTGTTCTGCTATATGGGTCTACAATATTCCATAAAAATCAATTTTATATGTGCCAAAACGCCCAGTAGTCCAAAATTATTACTACGTTCTTGTGCGTGGCCACGTCTTGTCTTACTAATTTAAACAAACCCTTAAGTAAACTATGAAATATCTCCTTTTCTACACACAAGTTGAAAACCTAAAATTTCAAAAGGTTATCGACACCTAATACTGATTTGAAACGGAAAACTTTTTACATTCGTCTAAACGAGTTCATACGTAAATATTAATTACAATGGAAAAATCCTTTTAAACGTTTCACACAATTTACCTGATTTATTTGATGTCTAAATTTACCCTTCGAGCAGTTCAACTTTGGACAACTTGAGCAACCGAGTTGATTCGCAGCGTGTTAATTTAAGTTGTTTATTGCAGATATTTAAAGTTATGCGATCGCTTATCCACTTGTCCTTTTCCTTACTATAGAAATTGGAATTAGTTTGTGAATTCGCACACTTATTGTCCGCGAATATTTCGTATTGCACTACACTGATTTTTTTTACAGAAAACGGGCGAACTA